TCCCTTGACCCTTGAGAAACAACAAGGGCCATCACTGTCCCTTGACCCTTGAGAAACAACAACAACAACAAACAAGGAAGGCTGATATTGAGAGACTATCGTGAGTATTTTCCTTGATCTTATTCAGAAAGAACTGCTGACAGAGTGATGAGGACCTGGGCTTCTGACATAACATGGATTATTTTTTTCTATTTTAAAATTTATACCTTAGAAGTTTATGCTGATTTGTTTTATGCCTTACTCTATTCTTTACCTCTCTTTTCTGACTGTTGCACTGAGCCAAAGCATTTTCCTAGTCTGTGACTTCCGGTTACATGGCAATAAAAAGTATTCTGATTCAAATTATTTTTGGCAATTAAAAACTTCAACACGTTTTATGTTTTAGAATTTGATATAATATCTTAGAAGTGTAGAAAACATCACTGTGTTTTGTTTCTTTCCAAATTCAAAAAATTACCTGATGCAAACGCAGACATGTAATGTACTTTCACCTGAGAAACTGCAAAACCAATTTACAGCGAATACTTTTGTTTTAAATGGCAGAATGCTGCTCTGAGTGTAATTTTATATCACATTATTTTTACACTATTACAATATTTTTATACTATTACTATTATTTTAGAACATGGGGCAGAGTTCCATGTTGGTGCCAGAAATTCCTGAAAGGGATGGATCTAAAAACAACTCCTGATCTGTTTTGATGAGGAACATTATTATAAAGTTAATTTAGCGACTCAATTCGGACTTGAGACTGGAAACTTATGATAATATAATGAGTCATATCTTTAAAAAGATACAAGTCCATAATGATTGAAGAGTAGGACTGGGCAGAAAGTATGTTATTCTGTGGAGCCACAAGACAAAAGGTTTGGTAGCCTACAGGCGGTCCTACAGTGTCACATTCTATGTCATATAGTCAAAAAAATAAAATAGTTAACACAAAAAGAGTGGGTGGAAGAATCTGGCACGTTTACATTCATGTTTATCATGTCTGTTCATTGACATGCACTGTGCCATTCAAATAAATAATTACATTCCCTCAGCTATGGTCATGATGGAGGAGCTTAGAGTAGAGGTGCTGCTCTTTTGTTCCCGCTGGCCTTTCAGCTGTGTGCAGAGGTTTGTCTCGGCGTCATCAGACGGTTGCCTCCTCTGATTGATCAGAAGATGAGCTGAATGAAACCAATGGATGTACAAAAGGACTATCCTGGGTTATCTCACTGTTACTTAAAGCTTGAGTACCTAATTTGTTGTATTTAATGTTTGAAAAACTTGATTGAAAGGTTATACATGCATGTGAAAACTACAGTGACCAAACTGTTTTGGGAGCAAGGGACTGCTCTCCTTGATTATTTTTTCAATTTGAAAGTTATGCACTCCACCTTTAAATCAATATTTTTTCTCTTTTATTCCAAAAAACACTGCTGTTTTTAAAGAATACTCAACATTGAAACCACTGAAGATACCCATGTAATAAAACTATAGTTCCTAGCTCTGGTTCTTTCATTATTTTCCACAATCCACAGTTTTGTGAGTATGTAAAATATGTTTTCTAATAACATCCTGTGTCTGTGTTTCTATAGCCCTGTGCTGTTTGCATCCTGCCAACTTCTGCACCGTATACGCCCTATTATTACCATGATGCTCAAAATGTAATATTGTAGTTTTTGTTACAATGACAATAAATGATGGAATCTTGAATCTTTATACAATAAAGACAAAGCGTTGTGGTCTGATTTGTTCACAACATTCTACTCAGACAAGACTGTCAGAAACAAACAGACTGAACAACAACAAAAGTTAGGTCTTCCAGCTTTAAATGCTCCACCACTGGCTCTGTCGTGGTGCCTTTGTCCTCTGGATGAGTTGTGTCGGCCCATATAGCGTGCTGCGGCTGTTGTTTACTCCAGCGCGGCCTGACATCACGTCCCACCGCACACATAATGACAGGCGCACACACCCGCCGACACACACCGCATTCACACTTCCCGTAAAGCTGCGGTGCGGGGCCCTGGGATGGCTCACCGGGCTGCTTCCGCCTGCTGCCCACATGATAAAGACTCTCATATTGTTTAATGAGGCAGCGTTGGAGGCTAAGTGCCATAAAAGCTGCTCTCTTTCTCTCTTTTATCAGTGACACTCTTCAATCGCTCCACTCCAGCGCAGTCCTCTCATCATCCTCCCGTCCGTCTACGCTCTGTAATTTATGCTTTCACTCATATAATGCCTCTAAGTTTTGCCATGGAAACAATTGAAATACAGATGTATACAAGTTCCAGTTATTACAGAGATGAATTTAGGTGAATGTTGATTATCAGAAACAACTTCATTCATTCATTACGCGAATATTTGCGTAAAATCCATGTTTCTGGTCTGACATTGTCCTCTTTTTGTTATCATAATAATTCTTATTGTCATTTTTTAAAGTTTTAATAGAATGGCACCTTCTTATTTATATGAACTCCTCCAGCCCCCCTCCCCTCCAGAGCATTGCGTTCTGCAGATCAGCCCCTTCTCGGTGTCCCTACCAGGCTGAAGACGAGAGGGGACAGAGCTTTTTCTGTTATAGGGCCACAGTTGTGGAATTCTTTACCTTTTCACATTAATTGCACAATCACTCGAGCACTTTGAATCCCTGCTTAAGACGCACCTTTTCTCTTTGGCTTTAATACCAGGTTGAAAAAGGTTTTTGGTTTTTGGTTTTATTTTTATGTGTTTTTATTTTTCTCTATTTTTATGTTTTTTCACTCTACCTCAATATTGTGCATATTTCCAAATGTGAAATACTGTCAGAATTTTAAGAGCATACATACAAGAAAATTATTTCTAACCAAATAGATATATTTTATATCTAATTTGGCACAATTCCTAACTGCCTGAATCCTAAACCTCTCATGGATTATTCTGCAAAAAAATTGAAACAGAAATATGTATTTTGCGGAAGTATTTATGTATATTATTACATAGAAAGTTCCTCTCCAGACTTCTGATGATCCATAAGTGTCACATTCATACAGGAGGCATAGTAAAAAGGCTGTTTGCTGGTTTTCAATGACATTACTGGTGTCGAGTAGACATTTCCAACGCTTGTGATCTGTTGCACTGGACAAAGTCGTACTATGATTTCAGGTTGGACTCAGCTTGTGTAAATAAACGATGACTTTTGACTCACTGACCACACTTCCGAACCGCATATGCACGTCCCGTAAGAGATGAGAACAGTTATAAAACTGAAGATAGATATAGTTCAAGTTTATTATTCCTCAAAGCTTAAAAGTGTATTTCTGGTGTATTGTGAGTTCATGGGATTACTGTACATACCTCTTGGTTTTGCTTACTGTGCATACAGTTTTGCTCTTTCTCTCTCTTTGTCCTTTTAGAAGAAGAACCCCTGAACAAACAAAACATGTGAAACAATGTGTGATCTATATGAAAATGTTCTCCTGAGGCCTCACTTGCGCTTTGTGTTGAAAATATGTTCCAAATATCTATATATAAATCTATCTATAGATCTATATAATGCAACTTAGTGTGAGAAGTTAAACCATAGCACTGCAAAATATTGTGCAAAATAAGTCTAAAATTGCTCAAAATTTGCTAAATGTATCTTAATTTGAGCACATTTTGACTACCAAAAAAGATTGGCCAACGGGACAAACAAAACCATCTTGTTTAAAAAGGGTACAAGAAATATCTCCCTTATGCGATGAGAAAATAAAGCAACAGTTCTTGAAATAAGACTAAATGGCCTTGTCCCTTTGGCAAATCTTGTTTTAAGAATCAAATTATTCAAATTAATATAAAAAAAAAAAACACTTGATTAAAGAAATTGTTACCTCATTTTTTATCATTCTTTGCAGTGTATTGCAATTACAATCTGCAATTACAAGCAATCTATTTGCTTGTATATCACAATAATGTTTTCTTTCTTGTTTTGTAGAGCACTTTGCATTTCCTTGTGTATGAACGAAACTGCAAAGTGGAAGTCTGCTCAGATTCCAGAAGTGAAAATCCCAAAATAGTCAGAGGAATTCTAAATGATATATTTTTTTAATGTGACACATGTTTGGTGATTCTCTGTCTGCAGAGTAATAGCTACACGATTTACATCAATGTGCTTACATATATATATGTCAAGCTGAAACCAGAGTGATGTGGATAGTGGAAACAGGTAGCTATCGTTAGCCTTTGTCCATCCATTCATTTTCTTCCGCTTTATCCATTGCTGGGTCGTGGGGGCAGCTGTCTAAGCAGGGACATACTTCCCTATCCCCAAGCACTTCCTCCAGCTCATGCAGAGGAATCCTGTGTCTTCCAACTCTTGATATCAACACTCTTTTTTCATAGATTTAAATAGCAAGTTTAAATATATGGGATTTTGATTGGTAAATGTACTTCCAGAACTTGAGCTGACTGCAACTCCAATGCGCTATACAAATAAATGCATTTCCGGACCCTGCAGTACCACAGTTGGCCACTAATCAAGGGGGGAGCAAGTTTTGTTCACTTCATTATTGATCCAACCTTTATTTTCCGCTCTTCCTTCTTTCCTTTGCCGTGGCTCCTCCCCCCCTCCCCTTTCCCTTCTCTCTCTCTGTCTCACACACACACACACACACACACACAGTCCTACACATGCAGCAGCAGATGTTTCGTCCACCGTCCGTCCGTCCTGCCTTGCCTTGCCTTCCCAGAATGCCACAAGTGAGCGTAGTTCCCCGCCGCAGGGTCCCGCCGCAGCCCGACCGACATAAAGCACAAACAGACCCCAGAAAAATGTCACCGCGAACGAAGGGAAAGAAGGCAAAAGCATTTTCTAATCCGTCCTTTATTGAGGCGGCTGGGTTTTCGGCAGCGCTACTTCTTCTTTTTTTTTATGTGTGAGAAGGCTGGCCTGTAATTTGGGGTTGCCGCGGCGACCAGAGGGACTTGTAATAAAACGGGCGGCTATTCTGGGATGCTCTGTAATAATGGAATGGACGCCACTCCTCTTGTTAGGGATGGGAGGACGGGTGGACACACTGCAGCACCTGTACGTATATGGGGGAAAGTCATTCATTACAAAGAAAAGTAGATTTTGTGGAAATTGTGCCAGGTTTTGGTGCATTGTTTTAAAACCTGTACTTGTACTTCATTGAGGAATGTGTAGCCATAATGAGCTCTGTGTAGCTTTGCCCATATACCCTAAACCTGATTGCGATAAATAACATAGGTTCTGTTTGTCAAGTTTTAACACTGGCCAAATTTCTACAAGATGTAAAGTGATCACAGTATAATTTTGGCTGACTTTAAGAATTCACAGCGGTTAAACAGAATTCACAGCGGTTAAACAGACCTGGTTTGACACACACTTAGCGTCAGTCCAAGAGCCCGGTTTTGAACCAGGCTTTAAAGACGTTTTATGGAAAGTTGCCAAACAGATTCACAGTGTATTTTTGTATTGGATTAAAACACGCTTTTTGCTTTGATCAATCCCTCATCAAACCATGCACATGTTTTTGTGCTTGCTCTTATCATTTCTTCTGTGAATAATTGTTTGTATTGTATATCTCGAGCATGTTTGAAATAAATAAACAAATGAATGAAACATTTCCATTTCTGCAGTCAGAACTTCAGGCATGGAGCTAGACTGCAAACATCTGTTTAGACGTATTCACTATACATGTACCTGCACCTTCCTCTGTTCATGCTGCTTTTTGCTTCACATTTCAACTATATTTAAATGTACTTTTTACTTGTATATAAGGTGACTCTATAAAGGTGCTTGAGAAATAAAATGTATTAGAATTTGTATTATTCAACTTGGCAACCCGCTTCCTTACAGCGGTGATTGGATTCTAATGTGTTTCTGGTGTGCGATAATGTCCCCATTCATAAACAAATGTTTCTATTTTGGGTTTTATTTTTTTAGATCAGTGGATGTTAATATGTTTAATGGACAACATTCAGCTATTCAGAGCAGATATTTAATGTGTGAGGGGTTTGTCGTCAACAAACTTTGTCTTGTATAATGCCCTTGCTGGTATCACGTGTTACCACCTGAAATCTTAAATATGAGTCTCCGTCCGGGACAAAACACTGATGAAGACTTGACATGACAACTATAAAGTTTATAATCAAGAGCTTAACTACTTCTTCTACTTATTCTACTTACATCCATCTTCTTCCCCTTCTTCCCCTTAATCCTTTTCTGGGTTGGGGGGTGGCAGTCAGAGCTGCACCCAGTACATAGAGCCCCAGCTCCTCACTGATCCTCCAGCAGGTGGTGAGTCCACAGGAGACTTTATCTTCAGCAGGGGCATCAGGCAAAGTGGGGTTAAGTGTCTTGCCCAAGGACACAACAACAGCAGTGATCAGGGGCAGTCGTGAAGTGTGTCTTATGGTGGGCTCAAACCCACGACATTCAGGCCCAACGGCCAATGCTCTACCAACTGGGCTATTTTTATTTCATCCTCTAGATAAAGTTTGTCTATCATTATTTGAAAATTGGAATTTAGAAATATTATTCAATTTTATTCCTCTAAAATGACTCTGTTTTCTGCTCTGAAAACACTTTGAAACACTTCCATAAATGGATTACATATTACAACTTTGAGAGCTTGAAAATACATATTTTTTTATATTATACATGTGTTGCAGTTCAACTCATCTATGATGTAAACTAGTGCTAACATGTACAGATCCTAACATATAGCTACATATTGCTTGCACTAGAATACCCAGTACTTTATACTTCCCGCCTCATATTTGCTGTCAGGAAATCGATGGAGCTTTATCACCTGGCAGTAGCAGCCTTTTAAATATTCTATTTTTGTACATTTTGAAACATGTGTAGACTCCATTTTTGTCCAAACCTCGAGCCAGTTTGTCACAAATACACAGCAAAGCTCCTGAGTTTATTATCTTATCATTATCTTAAATAATAGATCCTGTTTGCTGTGTGCATAACCTGAGTCTTATTTGGATTTATATTCTGCTGTAATGTGTGCAACTCTGACATTGAAATGACCCCACTGAGGGACAAATAAAGGTTTATCTTGTCTTATCGTACTACATTATGTTTTAGTAGTCTAGAATATCAAATAGGCTTTCAAACTGTGGTACCTAAAATGTATTGTAAAAGTAAAACAATGTGAAAACAAATCAGACCACAACACACCGCCGTCATCTCACAACAAAACATACACATTTTTGCATACTTGTCCAAAAGAGTCACTATTTGATGCTTTGAGCTGAGAGCTGATTGGCTGAGAGAGGGCGATCTTCTCCTCTTCCTTTTACTGTCTGCAAAAGCTGCGACAGAGGCCAAAAATACATGCATGTGAAAACTGTTTTGAGTGAGGACAGACGTAGTTATAGATGGATTTCATTTCTTCTAAGTCTAGCGATTACAAAGTTACATACCCCAGCTCAATTGAGCATAGATTAAGGATGCAGCTCTTTCTGAGTCTGTCTACAGAAAAAGACAAGATAATAAAAGAGATCCTGTATTTGTCCTACCGTGGGGAAAGTTCAATGTTGCAGCGCAGATTACAGAACAGTACTGTAGTAAGAGCACACAGAGAGCACACAAAATACACAATATAAGTGGCTGCTTTGTGTCTTAGCTAGCTGTAATTGACTCTGAGGGAGGACCTACTTACATAGATTCATTTTATTGGTTCTCTAAGTCTTGCAATTTGAAAGTTACACACCCCAGCTTTAAGCAACACAACCGAGCATAGGGTAAAGGATGCAGCTCTTTCTAAGTTTGTCTGCAAGAAAAGGTGAAAATCTTGTGAAAAACTAATGAAAATAGAAGTGTGTCGTATATTTTCCGAGCCTGACGCAGCGCTGCATGGCTCAGACTTGGCCTTGCCCGCAGCGTTACAAGGCTTTGTGGCCGTGAGCGTCGCTTCCAGACACCTCTCTATAATCTCGGGGCCATGTTAACAGGCACACTTCATCTGAGGGCCCTCATTACGCACTCGCGCCGGCCCCCACGTCCTGTCATTACACGTGTCTATTGCTATTGCGTTGTAATTACATTTTAGTAGGTTGTTATTACGCCATTTAGAAGCTGTCCGTCTCACCTCAATCTCCTCCTTAATTGGTTATGTTGGTCAGGTCCCGCCCCCTGCCTGGGTCCGCCCACCTCTTTTGACGGCACATTCCGGCGGTCTGGGGCATTTTGGGCAGCGGGACTGGAGTAGTGCGACAAGGCTCAGTGAAGGAAATTATGGAGAGAAAAAAATGAGAAAGAAGGAAATAGTTGGTGAATGTGCACTACAAAAAGATAGTTGTTTTATTTCTATCCCGAGTTTATGTGGGTAAAAAGAGAAGCCGTAAATTATATGTAAGGCAAATGATCTGTCATGTCTGAGAGCTGGAGAGAAAAAATAAGAAATATTTCTGGCCAATTAACTTGTAATCCATCATTTAATTAATCTGTGAAATTAAATAAATATTAATGAATTATACAGCGCTCCAAGACTGGATACATTGCTTCATTCTCAAAAAGCTAATGATGTGAAATAAAAACAAGAAGCACATGTTTATTAGCATATGGGCACAGATTAACTACAGTCTAACAAACCTAAAAAGTACAATTTCACAATGTACTTGACTAAAATATATATATATTTTTTTAGGGCTGTCAAAATTATCGCGTTAACGCACGTTGATTAAATTTTTCATTAATCGCGTAAAAAAAATTAACGCATTTGACCCATAATAACACTCAGAATGCCGCAGACACATGCGTGTGTAAGATGGGGACAGAGCAGGCAGACCCTCTGGGAATTCAAGTTTTGAAAGAATACACGCGTGACCGCGGGGCACTTGTTGTTTTCTGTATGAACTCTGCATGATGAGCTGCGGGCGCCACAGCGCTCTGGACAGGTCCCACTTCCAGCGGCTGTGATCACGGCGAACGGCGCTGCGTAATGGGATCATATCCAAGACCACGCACAGAACTATTACAGAACTATTCTCTAGTGTGCGTACGTGTCTTTGCGTAACCGATGCACACAATATCTACAGCGCTGAAGCTGGACTGCGGAGCCTCAGTCTCCTCAGTGTCTTCTCCCAAAGCACACTCGCTAAATTAAAGCTGAGGTACCTAATTTTCCTTTCGACCATCAGTTCATGTTAGTTTTGCCAAAAAAAAGCAATGGTGTGAGCAAATCAAACAGATTTAATGACATTCTGCATTTCAGACTATTTTGAAATCTCCCTCATCTGTAACAAACAATAGTTTTGTTCTGAGTCTAAACAGAAAGACAGAAATGTTAATAATGTTAATTCCATTGTATATGGATTTATTGTTATAACAAACAAATACAGTACATATGTTCACTAAGCTGTCATTTATCTTTCCAAACAACAATTTACAGAAAAATATGGCATAATTTTGCCAATAGTTTGAAATGTGATTAATTACGATTAATAAATTTTTAAGCTGTAATTAACTCGATTAAAAAAATTAATCGTTTGACAGCCCTAATTTTTTTTAAATGTTTCTGCCACTTGAACCCAAAAATATAGAAGAGGGACTCGAACAATAAAACTAGACAGTATCTGTGCTAGCTGGTATCGTTAACTCCACTAGCGGTCAGGCTATGTTCTTGCAATAGCCAACACAGGGGCACAAGTACAGAGCTCCACACTAGTCAGGGCATCAGGTTTACTTGAGGCACGGCAGCAGCGTGTTTAGGCGTTGGCAGTAGGGTGTCTTGGCCCTCTGTTGCCCTGTGGAAGAACCTGGAGAGGGGGTCTGGCAGCACGCCGACCAACACTGTTGGGGACAAGCGCTTGTGATGCAGCAAACTGGAAGTACAGGTCTCTAAACATGTACAAAGTTTGCAAGCTTTGTTTTCATTCATCTTTGCGGTTTTACAACGTTTCATTGGCCGTTCCTTTAGAGGATGATTCTCTTTGTCAACACCAGCTTCCAAGTCATCAATAAGTAAAGGAATTTCTTAGTGCATTTGTGATATGTGGATGAAGGGTATATTTGGGATGCTCCCTCCTGGAAGGATGGACAGTAACTAAAATGTCAGTTTATTGATTGAATGTGTCTGAGAGCCTCTGGTGCTTTGACTGTCGGATGCCAGCAGTTTTATTGTCATGTGTCAAGTTTGCATCTCTTATTGTAGCGGTTTGGGGCAGTCGGAAACAGCTTCAGAAAAGAATTTTGTGGCTCTTTTAGTGCTATGCCTTGCCATTATTGTATTTTGTATTATATGTGTTACTAATTTAGCCTACTGCAGTTGGATGTCACACAGCATTGGGTCCTAACCTAAATGCAAGGTTCTTCTGATCATCCATTGGTCCTACCTTTCGACACAGTCCTGCATTCAGATTAGTTCAATTTTCAGTTGGAGGAAGGAAGTCTTTATTTTTGCTCTAGGTTCGATCAGGCCACGATTTACACGTAAGTTACGTCTGAGGTCAGTGCAAGTGCAGGTCAAGTCCAAGTCTTGTTTAGGTTTTGAGTCTTTCAAGAGATTATTTTTCTCTTTTTGAGGTCCTTTTTTAAGGGTCCACACATACATCTTGTTGAAGAAAAAACCCTAATGTTGTATCAAGTTCCAGAACACATCAAATCACTGACCTCTAAGTCCAAATTAAGTCTTGATTCATTTCGGTCTCGGTCCTCAAATAGTGACATGACGCAAGTCCACACCTCGGCTTTCCAACCTTGACGAACACATTAAAAACACAATTCTTTTGTTTTTTTTTTTCCTTTTTGCAGTACTCCTCAAAGTGGAAAAAAGGGTGCAAAGCATGTTTTCCTGTTGCACGCAGAGTTTTTTGCCTGCTGCCAGCCCGAGCAGCCTTGTCCTTTAATACCCGAGGCCCTTCATGTGGTCGTCCGTGAGGTTTGGGGGGGCGACCGCAGCTCCGCCACGCATCTTATTACGCCGCTGCACATGTGTACTTGTTCCCAGAGCCGCCTGTCCGCCTGCCTGCTCTGGGACAGGGCCTGGGACAGAAGCAGTGAGGGGGGTGGGGGGTGGGAGAGGTGGTGGGGGGTCTAATGCGTCTCCATTTGTCAACGCCCCCGTGATGGCGCGTGGAGCTGCTTCAACAAAGTACATGGAAAGTGACTCTAATCGTGAACATGTCGAGCTCACATTTGAACTATTAACCGCTTTGTAGTCGGCTAACAGTCAGAAACGTTTGGGAATTCCGAAGCCCAACCATATAAATGTTTAACCCTTTTGGAACCAAAGTTGCAGAATTACAACCAGAGCTCCTGATTCCAAGACACTTTCTACTTTGGCGATACCATAATGCTTTGTGGACTTGGGGGTCAAATACCAACGCTCTAATGACTACAGGGAAAAGAGAAAAGGGCCTAATATTAGCTTCCATAAGCCTTCAGAGGCAAGGCAAGGCAAGTTTAATTGTATTGCACAGTTCATACTCAAGGCAACTCAAAGTACTCAGCAAAAAACCTCAAACTGTTCCCCCCCTCAATTTTGTGAACTCTTCAAGTGTAAGTGAGGCCTTGGTTTGGGCCTGCTCTGGTGTACATATTCTCATTATAAGTGCTAACAATCCATATATAAAGAAAAAACACATTTGAAAGAAGAGTAAAGCTGGTGTCTGCGTGGGTTTAATCAAAAGTAGACTAACCAACTGTTTTGACCATTTCCCTTTTGGCTCATTAAATGTTGCAAATGTTCCAAAATGGTTGACTTGACTGAAAATAAGTGGCCACTATTGTATTTCTTTCTCGTGTTGCTTGAATCTTGTTTAGACAGAGAATTCCTTTTTGTGGCCATTATCTATAATATTAGGTGTATGAGTTTTTTACACATTTCTTCTCAAAGCAGTACCACACATAGATTTAGGCAAACCTTTAATGTACTTTGCATGTATCTTGACGACAAACAAGAATGTTTGTCGTCAAGATACACCAGCAGACTGAGATTGAGTACTATTTTATTCATTGAATGACGTATGCAGAAGGGAGTTTGATTAAATGCAGCCATGATGAGCACAGGTGAGTTACTGAGGCTGAGGCTGATTGCTGTTGAGCTCAGCGCAGGTGTTTGGAGCGAGGAGCCAGTGTCGCAGCATGATGTTCCTTTGGTCTTCCAGTCTGAATTTGTGCTTACGCTTCATGTATCTTCTCTTCTAAACATGACATTACGTTTTGACTGATAATCTTTAGAAAGATCACAGCAAAAAAATATAGAATATTGTGCAATAACAGGTTGAATCAAGTATTTTTTATTTTGAGGTGAGCACATTCTTACTGTGTCAAAACAAGATTTGCCAATGGGACAAAGCCATCTTATTTCAAGAACTGTTGTTGTATTTTCTCAATCTAAGGGAGACATTTCTTGTATCTTTTAAAACAAGACCATTTTGCTTGTTCCATTGGTAAATCTTGTTTGAAGGTCAGAATGCGCTCACTTTAAGATACATTTGGCCAGATTTGAGTATTTATTTTACTTATTTTTTTTTATCATTTTTTGCAGTGATTAGACTTTCCATCTATATGGCAATGCAAACTGAACAATCCAAAACCTAAACTGAGTGAACTTATCTGTATTTTTCCATTCTCACCTTCCAAAATAAAGCAGGAGTGTCCCCCTAAAAGCCTTTATGGACGCAAACAAAAACACAGCTAACTATAGGCAGGAATGCTAGTTATTTGGAGCATCATAAAAGTTATAAAAAGTTGTCAAATGTCCAATTAGAGCAGCACGTGGTCCTGGGCTGCTCACCGCTGCTATGACAACTATGCAGAGAGCGCCCCGCCACCACCGCAGCGACCAGCCTGGCTTTAGGAATTCTGCTTTGTGATACCGAAAAGTCAATCACCACAAAACTAATGATCCAGACTGGTTTAGATTCATATCAAAGAAGCCTTTAAGATTCATAATTATGTGTTTTGTTTTACTTGTCATTTATGGACTCAATCAACATCTATGGACATTGGCCCCTTATGGGTCGATGGCTCTATGTGTTTATCATCGTATTTCTTGTGTTCTCTGATCTGTGTTTTGGTGAATCGACGGCATCTCCGAGATACCTACAGTTGTGATTTAGGGCTGTGAAAGGATATCTTTAGCTGAAAAAATGTGGTAAAACAAGCAAAAGAAATTTAGCTTGTATCCCCCAATACTACCACCAGAGGGAGGAGTACAATTTATACTAGACCTATACTATATATAGGTATACTATACCTGTAACTAGAAAATTACAGGTATAGGTATAGAATGGGGCTTTCATTCCAAAATTTGCCTCAACATGTTCATGGGAAATTTGATTCAATTCAATGTATTCTTGAAAGTGGCTGATTTGTGATGTAATAGTGGCACATTGACATCATAGGAGCTTTCAGACAGAAGGGACGGATGTGGTTTGTATCAGAAGTTCCTGATATTAGCATGGCTGGATTTAAAAACAACTTCAGGTCTGGGGTGATTTAAATGACAATAAATGTGCAAAAGGGCTCTTTTTCACATGAAGATTGCCTTAGCAGGAACGTCCCACAGCATGGAATTGCATGTATACTAGTCCTAGTTAGGAGTAACTGCACTAGTTTTGAAGTAACTTGCGGAGTAGAGGAATCATTTCAAACATCGCAGTTGCAATAATTCATGAAGAGTGTATTAATAATCATAAAATGTAGTTTTCTACTCTTTTATTTGTATAAAAACTACATTACAGCTCTTTGTGGGGTTGTTATCTTCAATGTAATATTTCAGAATTATCTATATTATAATCACTGGATCTGGCAGGTTTGGGAATTGGACCCACTTCCTCATATAAAGGGCACTGTTATGCAAATAAAAAATAAATCAAAAGTCATAGTCATCTTATATGTTGGTGGCTTCAGTTGGCCTCAGCAGATGTCTGGTGGGGATTGAGCTTCCCTGAGTTTTCCAGCAGGTGGCAGTATAGTCCACTTAATGCAAGCCTGTTGAGCCCTGCAGATGGGAACAAGGATCTGTGACATTATGACACAATACTAAGAATTAAGCTTAACTGCCTTTCGAACTAGTCAACATATAAAAAATAGTTTTTTGTAATTGTAAAACATGACATTTTTGATGTTTTTACATATTTGTTAGTTTACCCAGTCTAAAAAGTAGTGCTTTTCAAACGTAAAATAAATAAATAAACATGATCAGATTCCTGACAAAAACAAACCCCAATACACAATGATCAAACATGACTGCAAAGACAGACTCATTTTTGGGGAGATCCTCCACCAGGTTTCCAACACTACTTTTACAAATTTGAGTTTATGTTTTTTTATTAAAAACTATATATTTTTTATATTCCTATTGTTCAGGATATTCTATGCACGATGTACCATAGATTTTGAACCATGGGGCCGCTTGTGTTAATAGAGTCTGCATTTGTTAAAGTTCATCTGATTTTTTTTTTAAAACATGCATTTATTTAATCTTTATAATTTGGCTTCGTGGTTGTATATCACAATGACATTAGGCTTCAGGTGTGACCGAACACGTGAGCTATACTGTTTTGTATAGTGGGCCAACATTTCAATCAACACGAACATTCTGATTTGAATACACTGGTTACTTACTCCCTCTAGCGGACAGTTTGAGTTAGCTTTTGATTTCCGTCCCTGGCTGAGTGAAGGCTGAGACCGTAGACTGACTTTGAGACTTCTGTTTCATTTTCTGGAAATAACACGTGGAGATCAGCCAGAGTAGAGCTGTTGGTCTAACTTTAGGTCACACGGTGGATTTCAGACCACAGGTACGTCTGTCTTTTTTGCTGAATAATAATATATTAAAGAATAGGTCCAAATTAGTATGTAGATGTTTTGTATGTCGTTTCCTCCTTCAACGTTCTACATTGTGCTATGTTAGAGGAATGTCATAGTAAAATGTCATTGTTTTATATTGTGTTTACTAAATGTCACAATGTGTATTTAAAATGTATATAAACCACATCCAACCAATTTAATTCTCTGTCTGTTTAAAACTGCACTCAGTCCTGATAGCTGAAACAACAACTTTCTGTCTATTTAAGGTGATATAATTAGTTTTAAGCACACAATGAACAACAACAACAAAATATGGCTATGGTAAACTTCTGTACACATTCTGTAAACTGATTTTATTTTTTCTCATATGTCTTCTGTTGCAGTTTCAGACATATAGCCCATCCATTTTCTTCTGCTTAATCCATTGGCAGGTTGTGAGGACTTACCTATCTACACCTTGGCTAACCCCAACCAATATTTGCCAGCTTTATTGTTGTGAGGACAGAACAGTTGCATATCTCCAATGGCTGAAGGAGACAAGCGCCGCACCCCGTCCAGAGAAGTGCCCTCTACAGGGAAAATGTACAAAACATTGCTCGAGACACGGATGGCGAACCTCCGACTGCGTGAATGTTCTGCCCGCGAGGGAAGAATGTATCCATTTGGGGGTTTGGACGGAGGAACAGATGCAAGAAGGACTCTGGGGGGACCCATAAACTCACACCAAGCAGCTGGTGCCAGACCCAAGACCGGTCTCCTCTCTGGACCATCCAGTTCCACGACTTCAGGAAGATCAATGCTTCCGTATGTCGTTGGAAGTCGAACGGAAAAAGCCAAAATGGTCCCAACACTGCTTTTTGGCTCACGTGAAACCAGTCACAGAGGTGATCAGACGTCATCTTTGGAGAAAAACAGGAAAAGGGGATCCATACGCGAATCTCCAAAAACAACATACGGAACAGGAGACTTGAGATATGACTTTGAGCCGCAGGGAACCGTGATCAGAGCACAGGTAGCTCCGTGTTTATACTGTAAGGGAGGTCATGGCTTCGCAGAGTGTTCCAAGTTTGCCAAGCTGCCACAAGAAATGAAGTTGGAAACGATTAGAAAAGCTGGCCTCTGTTTTGCATGTTTGGATAAAGGTCATCGTTCACAAGACTGTAATTCAAAACTTGTCTGCCCCATTTGCTCTGAAATTACTGGCAATATTAATTACCACCCCCAAATCCTGCATAAAACAACCTTGGAGATTTTTGAACAGGTTGTGGAAAAAGAGAGAGAAGATGCTCTATGTGACTTGTTTCAGTTGTAAAGTAAGTAAACAAATCAAACTTTCTTCTCACTTGTATCTATACTCTTTGCTGACTGTTCTTGTTGATTTCTCTCTTGTGCTTCACAGAAAGAATTCCTGGGTTCCACCTCCAGTTGGGGCCTTTCTGTGTGGAGTTTGCATGTTCTCCCTGTGTCTGCGTAGATCTCGTCCTACATGTACAACAGTTCATTGTGTGTTTGTGAGGCTACTGTTAGGAGTGGTGTGTTTATGAACGGGAACTGTCCCAAACCAATTACACAATAAATAAAAATGTAGGCTGTAGTACACGTTATGAAATGGCACCTTTTTATATATCGGTGGAGTACTTTTTCATTTTTATTTCAGAATATAGGAGTTGTATTGAAGAATATATATGGCATACACATCTCTCATTATTTTTTTTGCTTGTGGCATTAGATTATATATCCCTCTCTCCTCTGGGCATCCTCTCTACTCTGGGCATCCTCTCTCCTCTGGGTCCTGTAGGCGGTCCACTGTTCCTAGAGCAGACAGCCCTTCTTCATCTGCACCCAGCCCTTTGTTTTTATGGTTTTACCTAATTATTTCATCTGAGGTGTGTGTGTGTGTCTTCTGTGTGTGCGTGCGTGTGTGTGTGCGTGCATGCGTGCGTGTGTGTATGAAAAGCCCTCTATGAAAGAAATGTTATTGATTTGATTGAAAAAAACGCCTTGGAATATTTGCTGAATTCAGATGCAGCGCAGCTCTCTTTCTGTCAAACGCTGGTTACTTTTTCCCTCTGGTTGCAGATAGATTTTGATTTCCTCCCCTGGCCTGAGTGAGGAAGCTCTAGCCATAGTCAGGACTTCAGTTTCGTTTTCTGGAAATGACATCTGGAGATCAGCCAGAGCAGAGTTACTGGTTTACCCTCAGATCACACGGTGGATTTCAGACTGCAGGTATATCTGTCTTCGTTGTTAAAACGTGTTAGTTAGGTAAATTATCAGATTGTGGATAAGCCATAACATTAATGACACTTGTAGTATATTAAATAACTTACAACAACAAAAATGTAGTTGTTTTGTATGTCGACCTATGTAAATCTGTTTCCTCATCCTATATTCTAAATAATATGGTTCATTAAGTTTCAAGCTGCGAGTCAAAATGTTCTACTTTCAAAAGCGTAGAAGGGTGAAAACTAAAGCACAGATTACACGCTCAAATATAGAGAAAATTATGAACAGAGACACATTGTGCTACGTTAGAAGAATGTTGTGGTAATATATCCCTGTTTTATATTGTGTTTTTCCTATTGTGCAATATGTACAGTGCAGACCCAAAGTTTGGACACTCCTAATCTTTCCATGAGTTTCCTTTCTTTTTATGAGTATTGAGACTGTAGATTCACACTCAGGCTTTGTAAGGGCTATTTGACCAATAAGTCACCAGATCTGAACCCAAGTGAAATGGTTTTGGGGTGAGCTGGACCACAGAGTGAGGGCAAAAGGGCCAACAAGTGCTGAGCATCTCTGGGAATTCCTTCAAGACTGTTGGAAGACCATTTCAGGTCACTACCTCTTGAAGCTCTTCAAGAGAATGCCAAGAGTGTGCAAAGCAATAATCAGAGCAAAAGGTGCTACTTTGAAGAACCTCAGTTGTTTCTTACCTTTTTTTTATAACATACATAATTCCACATGAGTTATCAATCAATCAATCAATAAAATACTTTATCATCTCACAATGTAGAAATTCATTTAAATGAATACACATAATTTATAGTTTTGATGCCTTCAGTATGAATCTACAAATTACATAATCATGAAAATAAAAATAAAAACTCTTTGAATGAGAGGGTGTGTCCAAACTTTTGGTCTGTACTGTGTATAAAACAAATACATTCAAACTGGTTCTTTGACTTCCTGTGTAAAACTGCAGGACTGAAAAACCACTTCCTCAGTCCTCATTCTAGCGTTTCCTGAAATAACACTTCTCTGTCTATTTAAAGGTGATTTAGTTTTAGTTTACTTCAAGCACGGAATAAATTAACAACAAAAACAATTGTCTTAAGAACACATATAACTAACAACATGTACCGTTATTTGAAAAAGAGTTTTACACTTTTCAGACACTTAAATTGTGTTTCATATAAAAAAAAAAAAAAACATTTGTATATTTTTGACCATTGGGCACTGTACTATTTTAAGTAATAGTAACTTAACTATTTTTTTTTCAGTGGTTAAACCAATGAGGGGAGAGAGGCCTCGAGGATTTGAATCTATTTCGACCAGTTAGGAGGCTGCGGGTGAGCGTGAGCAGGTCACAGGTTCACAATTTGAAAAGAAACTGATATTACAACATTAAAAGCAGTACTTTCTCTGTACTTTGTTAACTTCCACTGCTGGCTTTATGCATTAAATAGAAAAAAGGCTCTGCCAAATAGATAATTGTAAATCACTTTCTTTCAACACTACTGAATACTACTGAATAGGCAAGTACAACAAAACACGTTCCTTAAACTAATTTTTTTTATCTTGTTTGTCTTTTGTTACAATTTCATACAAATTGCCCATAATTTTTTTTCCTGCTTTATCCATTGCCAGGTTGCGAGGGCTTGGACTTGGCTTAGACCACGCCTTGGTTAACCTCACCCACACCCCGTCCAGAGAAGTCCCCTCTGCAGAGAATTGGTATCATTATTTACCCACAAATAAAGATTTTTTGGAAAGCAACAAAATGACTGAAAGACAATATGATTTTATAACTAAACGAAGAGAACATCACCAGACTGTCCTGAAAGATAGGACCATTGAATCGTCACAACCAAAAGAACAACCCTCAGCGGAGAAGTCTCAAATATAAAAAACATCGCTCGATACACGGATGGCGAATCTCCACCTTCGAGAAAGTTCTGCCCGTGAGGGAAGAATGTATACATTTTGGGGTTTGGACGAAGGAACAGATGCAAGAGGGACTCTGGGGGGACCCATAAGCTCACACCAAGCAGCCGGTGCCAGACCCAAGACCGGTTTCCTCTCTGGACCATCCAGCTCCACGACTTCAGGAAGATCGATGTTTGCGTACGTCGTCGAAAGTCAACCGGAGAAAGGCAAAATGGTCCCAACACTGTTTTTTGGCTCACATGAAACCAGTCACAGAGGTGATCAGACGTCATCTTTGGAGAAAAACGGGAAAGGGGACCCGCAACGCGAGGGAACCATGATCAGAGCACAGATAGCTCCGTGTTTATACTGTAAGGGAAGTCATGGCTTCGCGGAGTGTTCCAAGTTTGCAGAACAGCATCATCAGATTAAGTTGGAAATGATTAGAAAAGCTGGCCTCTGTTTTGCATGTTTGGATAAGGGTCATTTTTCACAAAACTGTAGTTCAAAACTCATCTGCTCCATTTGTGCTGAAAAGAAAAGGGAAAAATACCACCCCAAAATCCTGTATCAGATTTCACCAGATGAGATTATTGAACAGGCCCTTGCCTTCATTAAAAAAAGAAGACAAAATGCAATTTCATAGGAATTGTATTAAAGAATATTCATGTATATTGGTGTATGTAACACATCTGTCATAATTATCTAGCTTGTGGCATCAGATTAGTATTGATTATTGAAGTTCATTTTGTTGTTTTATGATTATTGATTATTGTTAGTATGCATTGTGGTCCTTTTAGTCCTACATTTCAGGTTTTTACTTTATCCACAATGCTCCTGGTGCAGACGGTTCCTTGGATGACACTTCTTCCATTAGCACCCTTATCTTTTCATGGATTTACCTATTTTATCTTATCCTGTGCGTGTGTGCGTGTTTGTGTGCGTGTGTGTACCACAATGTAAATTACTGTGCTACATAAAAAAATGTTATTATTTTGATTGAAAAACGCTCTGGTATATTTGATAAATTCATAAACAGTGGAGCTCTCTTTCTGTCAAACGCTGGTTACTTACTCCCTCTAGTGGTAGTTGCAGATAGATTGTGATTTTCTTCCCTGGCTGAGTGAGGGCTGAGACCATAGGTTAGACTTCAGTTTCATTTTCTGCAAACTTCAGACCACACGGTGGACTTCAGACCACAGGTTCGTCTGTCTTTTTTAGTGCCCTTTTCTTTGTCGATAAAACGTCTAATAAAGTAAAATATATTGATATAAACTGTAGAGAGACTATTAAAATAATGATACTTAAGCATATTCAATAACTGGTCCAAATTAATTGTAGTTTTGCATGTTGAGCTATGCAAATCTTTTTCCTCATCCACTTTCTAAATTATAACCTCCTTCATTGCATTTCAAACGGTGAGTCAAAATTTTCTACTTTCAAAATTACAGCAGGGTGGAAGTTGAAGTTGAACACTTCAGAAAATTAAATTGTGTTTCATTTTTAAAATAAATGTTTATACTTGTGGCCACGGGGCACTGTACAATTATATACAGTAAGTATTTTAAAAGTGTTAAACCAATGACGAAGGAGAAGCCTCAAGGATTTGAATCTATTTTGACCAATAGGAGGCTGCGATGGTGAGCGCGAGCAGATCTAACTAGTGTTTGTCTTCGAAAGGTTCTTGTTTCGACAATCAACTGACCTCTGACAACTGACAATCGCTTCAATGTTTAAAAGATGTCTACAGTATGTAACATTTTTGAAAATAAATGGGCGAGGCCATGTGGTAGGATTACTCAAACATTCACGCAGGAATCAAAACAAAACTGTTTGATAGAGGAAGAGACTATCCAGGGCTGCTCAGCAGTGCTTTTATTTTTTATTTTTTTTTTATCTTTATTTGAATTGGGACAGTGCACATTCATCAACATGTGTTTTTAACATGTAAATGTGCCAGAGTTAGCCATGTAGGCTAATTTTCATCCGTAGTCCCATGGCAGGTTGATATTAAGACAGATAAAGCATACAACAGGCACACACAGACACACACATACAAACCCACACACAGACACACACCATCACAGAGACATAACAAAACAGGGTATGTAACATTTGGTAAAATATGTAAAATAGATACATTAGCACAGATAAAAGATCAGAGGGACAATACACAAGACACCACAGTTTTCCATACAGCAAAGTATCAATGGTTGTGACTTTAAACCATATTTTATTTGTTAACTTCCACCACTGGTTTTATGATGCAGTAAAAAACAAAATAGGGTCTTCCAAATTATTTTACAATACTTTCTTTCTATGATAAACTACTGCACTCATTACTTAAACAAATGAACTTACTAATTCATCTTGTCTTCTGTTGCAGTTTCATACACATTTCCCATCCATTTTCTTCTGCTTAATCCATTGGCAGGTTGTGAGGACTTAGGCTTACCTATCTACACCTTGGATAACCCCAACCAATATTTGCCAGCTTTATTGTTGTGAGGACAGAACAGTTGCATATCTCCAATGGCTGAAGGAGACAAGCGCCGCACCCCGTCCAGAGAAGTGCCCTCTACAGGGAAAATATACAAAACATCGCTTGAGACACGGATGGCGAACCTCCGACTGCGTGAATGTTCTGCCCGCGAGGGAAGAATGTATACATTTGGGGGTTTGGACGGAGGAACAGATGCAAGAAGGACTCTGGGGGGACCCATAAACTCACACCAAGCAGCTGGGGCCAGACCCAAGACCGGTCTCCTCTCTGGACCATCCAGCTCCACGACTTCAGGAAGATCAATGCTTCCGTATGTCGTTGAAAGTCGAACGGAGAAAGCCAAAATGGTCCCAACACTGCTTTTTGGCTCACGTGAAACCAGTCACAGAGGTGATCAGACGTCATCTTTGGAGAAAAACAGGAAAAGGGGATCCATACGCGAATCTCCAAAAACAACATACGGAACAGGAGACTTGAGATATGACTTTGAGCCGCAGGGAACCGTGATCAGAGCACAGGTAGCTCCGTGTTTATACTGTAAGGGAGGTCATGGCTTCGCAGAGTGTTCCAAGTTTGCCAAGCTGCCACAAGAAATGAAGTTGGAAACGATTAGAAAAGCTGGCCTCTGTTTTGCATGTTTGGATAAGGGTCATTTTTCAAGAAACTGTAGTTCAAAACTCATCTGCTCCATTTGTGCTGAAAAGAAAAGGGAAAAATACCACCCCAAAATCCTGCATCAGATGTCACCAGATGAGATTATTGAACAGGCCCTTGCCTTCATTAAAAAAAGAAGACAAAATGCAATTTCTAAATGATTCAATATTTCAATTGTAAAGTAAGTCACCAAATCTAAAAATTTTCTTCTCACTTGCATCTCTACGCTTTGCTGACTGTTCTTGTTGATTTCTCACTTGTGCTTCACAGAAAGAATTCCTGGGTTCCACCTCCAGTTGGGGCCTTTCTTTGTGGAGTTTGCATGTTCTCCCTGTGTCTGCATAGTTTCCCCTACCACTAAATATATGCACAATAGTTTAGTGTGTGTTTGTGAGGCTACAGTTCAGATTGGTGTTTACCTGAACAAGCACTGTCACATAAATAAATACATATGTAGGCTCTAGTTTTTTTATTGAAATTTTTGAAATGACACATGCTATTTAAAGAGAGAAAGCATTTTGATTTTCACATTCCAGAACATAGGAATTGTGATGAAGAAAATGCATTACATACACATCTCTGTCCAAAAATAGAGGGTAAAAATATACAAGTTCACTGTGAAAGGTCCCCCCCGAGACCTTTCACAGTGAAGCTTGAATCTGTTAATCAGTCTAGAATACTGCTTTTGTCACATTTTATCTAGTCTAGTTAAATCCAAGCAAAACCAAAAAGAATATTGACACCCATATGCTCAAAATACCTTCGTAATATAAAAAGGTAACACAAAATATCAGCCATGGATGCTAAAGCTATTGACCAGATGCGTCGACGTCATCCAGTCACGTGATTGCGAAGGAGCTTACGCTGAAAGTATTGGAAACTAGCATTGCGGCGAGAGCAAAACGGACTACAACTCTTAAAAACTGAGACTCCTCTCCTAAATCGAGATGTGGCTTCTTCAAGCACATGTTCGATTATGTTTTTGGTAAAAGTAGGACATCAGGTCAGGGCTCACATTAGCAATGCACTTTTCTGTCTACAGCCAAACATGATACACATTGACAGAGAGGGAAACAGTGAAAAACGCAACTGACGTCTAAGATAAGATACAAGATCTTTTATTTGTGCCACAGTGGAGAAATTTCAATCTTGCAGCGCACAAACAGGACAGTAGTAAGAGACACGTTTGACTTCAAGTGTTTGTTGTGTCATGGTCCTCCAAATAAATTAATCGAAAGAGATTAAATACAAAATTGTGATTGATTTATCTTGTAAAAAGTGTGCTTGGATGGCTCCCAGTCCTTTTGGTTGATTGCCTCTGGCCATCATCGTCTTCTGTCTTCATGACGAGCAGGTATCAGATAAAAAGACACATTTGGCTTATGTCCTGTTAGTATAACCAACCGCACAGCCAAATATCACAGCTTTGGCTGTTATTCGCTGAAACAGGTTGTTTTGGTAAAGTTTCCAAAGGCTCGCAGTTAGACTTCCGCCGTCTGTCATGGAGAGTGAGTGGGCATGGCCGGGACGTCACATGCACAGGGTCAATAAACAAACTTTTAGAACCATGTTTCCCTCTGCTTCTCTTTTAAAAATCTTTTTCTTTCACATAAAATAGCAAATACTTTTGGCAAATTAAATTGAACGGTAACTGCGAGAAAACAGGACCAGTCCTCCACAATATGACAAAATCCCAATGTAGCCCTACAGAGAAAATAGTTGCCATCACATGCTTTGGAAGCTTTAAATATATGATAATAATATTATATATTTTTTAAAATAATTGTATAATAATATATATTTTTTTCTCACGGACATTAAATGCAAATAGAAGAATGACTATTTTCTACCCAATGATTTGCAGCACTTGAATAGAGGGATTAATTGATTAATTGAACAGTTATCAACTAATTTGATATCATTGTATTTCTTGTGTTTGAATTGTTTTTTTTTCTCTGATCTGTGTTGGCGAATTCAACGGTTTTGTTAAGTTCTCCGAGATAATTACTGTAATGATTTAGGGCAATACAAGAATAAATGGAATTGAATTAATTTAGCAGTCGATCAATCTTTTTTTGTCCTTAAACAGGCTTTGAAGAGGTTTAATGACTATTCTAGTATAATTCTGTAATGCTTCTTGTGTGTTCTCACTTATCCCTTGTATGTTCGCTGCAACACCAACATTTTCCCAATGTTTTACGAATAAAGGTTCTCTGACTACTGAATGAAATGGAAATGTGTTTTCATTTTTTAATAAACCAAAAAAAACAAGTCATTTCTTTGAAGATGTTATCCAGGGGCATTACTTGAGCTTTGATTATTAGTAAGAATAATCTTCCAACTAATTGATTATCAAAATCATCGTTAATTACAGCCCGTGTATAAATATCAGATATACATGTGTTTAGACTTCTTCCTAAAACGCAGCTGAGCTCATGAGAATATAAGGTCCAAATAGATTTCAAACCAATCTTTCAGATTTTAGTTTTGCTTGTAATTGAAAAGTATTCTCCGTGCAATAGTCTACTTGATCACATTCTTTTATTCTGGGCTGAAGATAAGCAGCCCTCTGCTTCAAAGAGCAGACAAACAAAATGATCAAAGTTTTATTTATTGGGAAAGCAGCTATGCCATAATTAAAGCAGGCAGCTGTCTCTTTGGGCAGCACATGCTGATGGGTAATGTGTTTATTTGTTGTTATCAAATGTTCTTCCCTTACTTATTTGAATACATTTTAGATGTATATTATTGGAAGCACAAGCTTTTTCAGTGAAGGACAAGAGATTGTGGTTACAGGATGTTGTAGAAACCTAAATGTTTACCTCCTTTTACTTTATGTATATATTTTGTACCTTAAATCATCTGCAGCACCATTATGTTGTGATGGATCAGTTTTACGAGATATTTCAAGGATAATTCAACCGTTAGGAATGACATTGTGGAGCATTGTAGTTGATTAAACGAGCGAATACCACTCACCACAAGGGGGCGCCAACGTGATCCTGCCCCGGAGGAAAGAAGATATATATTTTGTGTTGTCGTTACGTTAAATGTCTGTTCCAACCAAACCCCTTTTTCCAACTTTAAGAACTTTACTTGAAAGACGTCTTGGGTAGAGCCGCAAAAAACTGAAGGTAAGATGGTTCTGTGGTATTTGTTAACCACGTGCATGTGATGCTTATTAAGCTAATTAGCACTACACTAGCGGCTTCATATTTCACACCGAATATTGAGTATAATCATTCAAATACAAAAACTTGCTTTCAAGAACATACTTTTCTAACTGGCTATGTTTATATGTAATCCTTGTACTTTAGCAGGCTGTTCTACGTCATGGTGCTACGTCCCTTAGGACTTCGCTAGTGGGATATCACTCGTGACCCCCAGGTCACGCGCCAGAGAGATCAAATAATTTGCTCCAATCACCAGCCACCTTCCTCTATAAATGCCCCTGCACAAGGCCGTACCCCCTCTTTCACTCTGGCGCCGATTGAGATCTACATTTCAATTTACCTGAGGAAAGATGTCTTCTGATGCTCGTCCGAGTTCCCCTTCGCCATCCGGCGTCGGACGTCGTCGTTGCTCAACTTGTCGGGTCAAGCTCCAGCGCAAGGACCAGCACTCCAGCTGCTTCGTGTGCCTGGGTTCGGGCCATGCGGCGTTGAGCGCCACCTGCGCCTCGTGTCTCGCTCTCCCCAGGGAGGAGAGAGTGAACGCAGGCCGCGCGTTCTTCGCCGCTACAGCGCCCCGTCCGGACTCCTCTCAGGACGAGGAGTCTGTGACTGACTGGGCCCCCCTCGACCTCCCACCCGTGCCCGCGGAGTGGGGTGACTGCGAGGACGGAGAGGTGTCGGAGGTCGGCTCTCTCCTCACGCTGGACGAGGTGGTGTCCAACCCGGAGCCGGACCGCTTCCCGCTGGACCACATGCCTGGGCTCTACTCCACGGCGGCGGCCATCATGGATGCCCCCCTGCCACCGCAACCGAACCAGAGGGTGGAGGACTTCACCTCTGGTTACGCCACCACTCGAGGGAGGAGGAGAGCGCAGCCCACGTTGTGCCCGCGTATGGACCCGATCGTCCATTACGCGACACGTGAGTGGCCAAAGCCCCTAGCGGCCAAGAGGCCCGCTTTGGGGTACGGCATGTATTGTAACGTGCAGGACTGGTCCTGGACCGGCGGGGTCCCGGACATCGAGGACTCGGTTCGAGCGGCCCTGCACCCCTCCGCATCCGTGTGGCCCGGCACTAGACCTCTCCTTCCCTCCGAGCGGGATAGGATGTCTTTGGCGATGCACGATAGATGTTACGCCAATGCGGCTCAGGTCGTTGCGGTGGCTAACAACATGGCCTTCATCACACGGGGCCCTGGATAGGTCTCTCTCTTCTGGCCAGGCGCTCAGTGGAGACACCTTATCCCAGGCGAGGACCACTTCAGCAGCGATCTTGCGCATGTGCCAGGCGCTAGCTGTCGATGGCGGCCGCACGATGGCAGCAGCACAAGTGGGGGCCAGACACCTCTGGCTGGGGCCGGTGAACCTCGGAGAGGCGGAGAAGAGGCAGCTGCTGGACCTGCCCATCTCCCAAACGTCACTCTTCGGTCCGGAGATGCAGACGCTGATAACTAGGCTGGACACCGCAGCTAAGGACTCTGCTAGCCTAGCCAAGCATCTAGCTGCGAGACGCGAGCCCCGCCCACCAGTGCGGAGCCGAGACAGAGGCAGGGAGCGCTCGCCCGGCAGGCGCCCCGGACCATATCCACGCTCCGTGGTTCATCGTTCCCCAGCGACGAGGCCCCCGGGCCAAGACAGGCACACGGGAGGCTCGCGGGACCAACGCACCCACCGACGACCTCCCTATGGCAGAGGAGGTCGGGGTGGGAAGAATTCTTTCAATAAAAGCCGTGCGGCATTTCATCAGTACTCGCTGTCTGAGTCTCATTTGGGGGTATGTAACATGTCAAATGATTTGAATTCTGATTGTGTTACTTCTCGAGCATATAACGTGGCTCCGCTAGGCCTGCAGCCCCCAGAGAAGGGCGTGCAGCGTGCTATGCGGGCCACGGGCTCCGATTCACGGGTTCATGTTTTGCCCTCCCGGAGAGAGGGCAGGCGGAGGGATCTGGTAAGTGATAATGTGTGTGCTCCAGCCGAACGCGTGTTAGCATCTCTGAGCTACAAGGCTAACACGGGGTTTCCCACTCCAGGGGCTCGTCCCCCCCTCCATGAGGCAAGAGCCAAGGGGGGGCACAGCAGCCGTGTCACGTGTGGTGAGCAGTCCCGTACTTATGACGTCGGGCCTGCAGAACACGTGACCGCCCTCGGCGCTCACGGTGTGACGCAGGGGCCCCCCCGGCCCTTTCAGCCACCCCCCCTCCCTGCTAGGAACACCAGGAGAGGGCGGGGCCGTGACGTCTCGTGTTCCAACTCCCGTTCCGCCCCTCACAGATTTCTACAGCATCTGGAGAAAGCAGGGCCTACTGACAGATATTTGGCTGGAGAAAACTCTGCGCAGAGGTTACGCACTGCAATTTTTCCGAAAGCCACCACCATTCCGAGGCGTACGGGCAGTACGCTCTCAGGTACGGGGATCGACAGAGGCACTACAAGCGGAGGTCTCCTCTCTGCTGAGTCGAGGCGAAGCAGTGGAGGTAGACCCGCAGGACGCCACCAGGGGGCTGTACTCCCCTTACTTCTTAGTGCCAAAGAAGTCAGGCGGGGTGCGTCCCATTCTGGATCTGCGCGTGTTAAACGAGTGCATTTCCAAACGGCAGTTTCGGATGCTGTCCACAAAGCAGCTCCTCGAGTGTGTCAGGGAAGGAGACTGGATGACATCCATAGACCTGACAGATGCGTACTTCCACGTGCCCATAGTGCCAGAACACAGGAGGTTTCTGCGCTTCGCAGTGGGAGAGAGGAATTACGAGTACTGCCGTCTACCCTTCGGGTACGCACTCGCGCCTCGGACTTTTTCCAAATGTATGGAAGCAGCTCTGGAGCCGATCAGACGTGCGGGGGTAAGAATATTAACCTATATAGACGATTGGTTAATACTGGGCCCATCCAGGGAAGTGGCCCTGAGCCACACGCACTGGGTCCTGTCCCACATACAGCGTCTGGGCTTTGTGGTGAACAGGGAGAAGAGCAAGCTGCAGCCAGCCCAACGCTTGGTTTACCTCGGTCTACAGCTAGACTCGGTGATATTCCGTGCTGCAATGTCCGTGGACAGACGGATGAATATTACCCGTCTGGCCCGGGAGGTTCTGGCGGGCCCCAGAGTCCCCGCTCGGCGCCTCAAGTCCCTGCTGGGAATGATGGCAGCGGCTCATGCTGTGGTGCGGCTAGGCCTGCTCCACATGAGAAATTTTCAGAGGTGGTTCTCGTGCCTCAGGCTTCACCCCTCCCGGGACGGGGGGAGGCTGATCTGGGTTCCCCAAGGGGCAGCATCGGACATCAGGTTCTGGCTCACTCCGGGTCTATTGCGGGACGGAGTGACTCTGGCCTGCGCCGTGTCTCACGTCGAGGTGTTCACGGACGCGTCGCTCGAAGGATGGGGCGGGGTCCTCGGCCAGAGCTCTGTAGGAGGCTGCTGGTCGGACTCAGCCCGTCACATCAACCTGCTGGAGATGGAGGCCGTGCACAGAGTACTGCTGCACTTTGCCCCTCAGCTGCAGGGGAGACACGTGATGGTGCGCTCAGACAACACCACAGTGGTCTCCTATCTGAACAAGCAGGGGGGCACCAGGTCCCCCGCTCTCCATCGCATGGCGACGGTGACGCTGCTGTGAGCGGCGCTTCACCTCCTGTCTCTCAGGGCGCGCCACGTCCCGGGGGTCCGGAACGTGGGAGCCGACAGGATGTCCAGGGGGGGCCCACTCCAGGACGAGTGGGGCCTGGCCCCACGGGTAGCTGCGGAGATCTGGCGGAGGTTCGGCCGTCCAGTGGTCGACCTTTTCGCCAGTGCAGAGAACGCACAGTGCCCGTCCTGGTTCGCCTTAAGGGCCGCGGACGAGCCGCCTTTAGGCGTGGACGCTCTGGCTCATTACCCATGGCCAGGCGGCCTGTTGTACGCTTTTCCACCGGTGCGTCTCCTGCCGGTCCTGCTGCGGAGGATCGAACAGGAGAGGAGATCGGTGATCCTGGTGGCTCCGGACAGTCCGCATGCCCGGTGGTTCCCCTTCCTGAGGGGCATGGCGGTGATGGAGCCCTGGGCCCTCCCGGACGAGCCGGGGGCTCTAGTCCAGGGGGCAGGAGCCCTGTTTTCACGTCCGATAATCGGCCGCAGGCTCTGGGTTTGGAGGTTGAGAGGCGGAGCCTCGTAGATCTGGGTCTTCCCCCTGCGGTGGTGGAGACCATTCAGGGAGCGAGGGCGCCGTCCACCGTGAGGGCCTACGCCACGAGGTGGAGGCTATTCAGTGTCTGGTGCGATTCCCGTTCCTGGGATCCCAGGTGTTGCCCGCTGGAGGGGGTCCTGGGATTCCTACGACAAGGGGAGGGCTGTCGCTACCTTGGCGGTGTTCGCGGCAGCCATTACTTCGGGTCACGACGGATTCGGGGGATTCACAGCCCGTTCTCACCCGTTGGTTAAACGTTTTCTGCGGGGGGCGCGCAGGAGGAGGCCCCCGCTCCAGAGAACGCCTCCGGTTTGGGACCTCAGGGTGGTCCTTAGGGGGCTGTCGGGTCCGCCTTTTGAACCGGCGGCGGAGGCGAGTCCCGAGTGTATCGCCTTTAAGACGGCCCTCTTACTGGCGTTGGCGTCTGCGAAGAGGGCGGGCGATTTGTGTGCGCTCTCCGTCCATGCGTTGTGCCTGTCCTTTGGAGAGGACGACGGCATGGTGGAATTGTGGCCCAATCCGGCTTTTCTCCCCAAGGTCATCACGTCGGCCTTTAGGTCGAGGGTCATCAGGATTAGGGCTTTCCACCTGCCGCCGCATGCCTCCCCCGAGGAGGAGCGGCAGCACCTTCTGTGTCCTATCAGAATGCTGAGGCATTACCTGGCCATGACGTCGTCATTCAGGTCGGCCAGCTGTTTGTGTGTCTGGGCCCCAAGAACAGGGGCGCCCCGCTGTCGGCTCAGCGGCTGGCGCATTGGGTCGCCACGGCGGTGCGGCGGGCGTATCAGACGCAGGGTCTGGCCCCCCCGGTGGGTTTCAGGTCGCATTCCACGCGTGGGATGGCGGCCTCTACGGCCCTTCTCAGGGGGGCGTCGGTCGAGGACGTTTGCCGTGCGGCTTCTTGGGCGTCGTCCTCCTCTTTCGTCCGGTCTTATCTTTCGGATGTGTCGGACCGGTTGGTGGCCCATTCCGTGCTGAGTGCAGCGGACTGAGTTAGACCGTTGGGTCCCTCCCCTGAGGGGGGCCTTCGGTCTATTTTCCGCCCGGGTGCAGGAGCTCTTGGGAGAGGCATCCTACAGGTGCGGTACATTTTGTGTGTGTGGTCGGTCTGGTAGTCCACGTCAGGAGCCCTTGGGAGAGGCGTCCTGTGACTACGGATGACCTACGGCTTGTGTTACGTGGGGGTATCCTTGGTAGGAGTGGCCCCGTAACACGCTTGTTTCTTCTGCCCTGAGTCCTCTCACGTTGTGAGGGTCTTGCTCGGGCGGAGCTCCAATCACCTTCGCTGGCCTGCTGGGAGTACATTTTCCTACGGCCTCTGCGTTGTGTCCCACTAGCGAAGTCCTAAGGGACGTAGCACCATGACGTAGAATTAATAGTTACTTAATGTAACTTAAGTTCTACGAATAGGTGCGTAGTCCCTTAGCTACGAGCCCATCAGGCCAGCCCGGCTTGGCAGAGTTCAAGAGGGGGTACGGCCTTGTGCAGGGGCATTTATAGAGGAAGGTGGCTGGTGATTGGAGCAAATTATTTGGTGGTGGGTTGTTTGGTGGTTGGGGGGTGTTGTTTTGTGTGATTTTTTTTTTGGTTGTGTTTGTTGTTGTGTTGTGTGGTTGTTGGGGGGGTTGGGGGGGTGGTGTGGGTGGGGTTGGTTGTTGGTGTGTGTTTTAGTGGTGGGGTGTGTGTGTGGGGTGGTGGTGTGTTGGGTGTGGGGATGTTTGTGGGGTTGTTGGGGGGTTGTGTGGTTTTGGTATGGGGTTTTAATGTATATGTATTGGGGTGGGGGTTGGGGGGGGGGTTTGGGGGTGGGTGGTATGGGTGGGTTGTTGGGTGTTGGGTTGGTTTTATTGGGGGTTTGGTGGGTGTGGTGGGGGGTTTTGAGGGGTGGTGGGGGTGTGTGTGGTTTTGGTTTGGGTTGGTTTGTGTGGTAGAGTAGTGGTATTATGGAGAGTATAATAGTGTGGAGTGGGAAAATATTTATTGTGGTGGGTATGTGGTATTATGGTGGTGGGGGATTTTTTTGTTGGTTGGGTAGTTGTGTGTGAGGTATTGGTGGGTGGGGGTATGTGGGGTGATGGGTTGTGTGTGGTGGTGGGTGGGGAGTTTTGGGGGGGGGTGGGGTTGGGGGGTTGGGGGTGGGGTTGTGTTGGGGGGTTGTGGGTTGGGGGGGGGTTTGGGGTTGTGTTGGGGGGGGGGGGGGGGGGGGGGGGGGGGGGGGGTGTGGATGGGGGGGGGGGGGGGGGTGGGGGGGGGGTGGGGGGGTTGGGTGGGGGGGTTGTTGGGGGTGGTGTGGGGGTGGGGTGGGTGGGTGGGGGGGGGGGGGGGGGTGGGGGGGGGTGTGGGGGGGTTGTTGGGTTGGGTTGGGGGGGGGGTGGTGTAGGGGGGGGGGTGGGTTTTGTGGTGAGGGGGGGTGTGGGTTGGGGGGGGGGGGTGGGGGGGTTTTTGGTGTGGGTGGGGGTGGGGGGGGGGTGGGTGTTTGTGGTTGGGGGGGGGGGGGGGTGGGATGTGATGGGGGGTGTGGGGGTGGGGGGGTGGGGGGGGTGTGGGTGAGGGGTTGTGGGGGGTGGGGGGGGGGGGTGGGTGGGGGGGGGTGGTGTTTGGGGGGGGGGGTGGTGGGGGTGGGTTGGTGGTGATGGGGGTGGGGGTGTTTGGGTTGTGGGGGGGGGGTGGGTGGGAGGTATGGTTGTGGTTGGTGTTGGGGGTGTGTGGTTGGGGGTGTTGGTTGGGGGGGTGGGGGGGGGGGGGGGTGGGGTGGTGGGTGTTGTGTTTTTTGGTGTAGTGGTGGGGGGGGGGGTGGTTGTTGGTGGGGGTGTGGGGGGGGGGGGGGGGGTGGGGTGGGGGGTGGGGTGGGGTGGGGGGGGGGGGGGTTTGGTGGGTTGGGGGGGGGGTGTGGGGGTTTGGGGTTTGTTGGGGGGGGGGGGGGGTGTGGGTGTTGTTGTTGTGGTTGTGTTTGGTTGTGTTGTTGGGTGTTGGTTTTGGTGGGTGGTGGGGGAGTGGGGTGTGGGGGGGGTGGGGGGTGGGGGGGGGGGGGGTGGGGGGGTGGGGGGGGGGGGGGTTTTGGGGGGGGGGGTGGGGTTTGGGTGGGGGGGTTGGGGGGGGGTGGGGGGGGGTGTGTGGTGGGGTGGGTTGGGTGGGGTTGGGGGGTGTGGGTTTGGTGGGGTGTGGGTGGTTGGGTTGGTGGGTGTGGGGTTTTTTGGTGGGGGGGGGTGGGGGGTGGGGGGGTGGGGTGTTGGGGGTGGTGGTGGGTTGTGTGGTGTGTTTTGGTAGTGGGGGGGGAGGGGGTGTTGGTGGGGGGGGGGGGGGGGGGGTGGGGTGGGGTGGGTGGTGGGTGGGTGTTTTGGGGGTTGGGGTGTGGGGGGTTTTTTGGGGGTGTGGTGGTTTTGGGTGGGTGGGGGGGGGGGGGGGTGGGGTGGGGGGGGGGGTGGGGGGGGGGGGGGGGGGGGTGGGTTGGGGGGGGGGGGGGTGGGGTTGGGGGGGGGTGTGTGTGGGGGTGGGGGGGGGGTGTGTGGGGGGTGTTGTTGGGGGTGGGGGAGGGTGGGGGGTTGGTGGGTGTTGTGGTGTGGTGGGGTGGTGGTTTTGGGGGTTGGTGGGGGGGGGTGGTTGGTGGTGGGGTGGGGTTGGGGGTTGGGTGGGGGGGGGGGTGTGGGGGGGGGGGTTGGTTGTTGGGGTTGGGGGGGGGGGTTTTGGTGGTGGGGTGTGTGTGTGTATTTGTGTTGTGGGTGGGGTGGGTGGTTGTGGTGGGGGTTGGGGGGGAGTTTTGGGGGGGGGGGGGGGTTGGGGTGTGTGTTTGGGTGTGGGGGGGTGTGTGTGTGGGGTTGGGTTGGGGGTGGGGTTTGGTGGGGGTGGGGGTGTTGGGTTGGGTGGGTGGGTGGTGTGGGTGGGGTGGGGGTGGTGGGGGTGTGGGCGGGGGGGGGGGGGTTGGGGGGTTGTGGGTTTGTGTGGGGGTGGTTGGGGGGGGGGTTGGTGGGGGGGTGGGGTGTGGGGGTTGGGTGGTGGGGGGTGGGGTGGTGTTGGGTGTGGGTTTGGGTGGTGGGTGTTGTGGGGTGGTTGGGTGGTTGGGGTGGGTTTGGTGTTTTGTGGTGGTGGTGTGGGTTGGTGGTGTGGGGGGTTTGTGGTGGGGGTGGGTGGGGTGGGGGGGGGGTGTGTTGTGGGTTTTGGTTTGGGGGGTTGGGGGTTTGGGGGGTTGGGGGTTGTGGGGGGGGTGTTTGTGGTTTGGTTGGGTGGGTGGGGTGGGGTGGTGGGGGGTTTGGGGGGGGGGGGTGGTGTGGGTGGGGGGGGGGGGTGGGAGGGGGTTGTGTGGTTGGGGGGGTTGGGGGGGGGGTGGTGGTTGGGTGTGGTTGGGGGGGGGGGTGGTGGGGGGGGTTGTGGGGGGGTTGGGTTTTTGGTGGTTTGTGTGGTTGGGTTGTGTTTTTGGTGGTTGGTTGGGGTTTGGGGGTTGGTGGGTGGGGTGGTTGGGTTTGTGTGGGGGGGTGTGGGGGGGGGGGTGGGGGGGGGGTTGGTGGTGTGGGGTTGGTTGTGGGTGGTGTGTGTGTGGGTGGGTTTGGGGTGGGTTTGGGGTGTTTGGGGGTTGGGGGGGGGGGGGTGGGTGGGGGGGGGGTTGTGTGGGGGGGGGGGGTGGTGTGTGTTGGGGGTTTTGGTGGGGGTTGGTGGGTGGGTTGGGGGGTGGTGGGGGTGGTGGGGGGGGGGGGTGGGGTGTTGGTGGGGGGGGTGGGTTTGGGGTTGGGGTTGGTGGGTGGGGGGTGGGGGGGGGGGTGGGTGGGGTGGGTTGGGGTGGTGTGGGGGTGGGTGTTTGTGGGTTGGGGGGGGGTGGGTGTGGGGGGGGGGTTTGTGGGTTGGGTGTTGTTGGGTGTGTGTGTTTGTTTGTGTAGTGTGGGTTTTTTGTGGTGGTTTTAGGTGGGGTGGGGGGTTGTGATGGTTTGGGTGTTGTGTGGTGTGGGGGTTTGGGGGGGGGGGGGGGTTGTGGTGGGGGGGGGGGGTATTGGTGGAGGTGGTTTGGGTTTTGGGGGTGTTTAGTTTTGTGAGGGTTGTTTGGGTTTGGGGGGTGTTTGGTGGGTGGGGGGTTGAGGGTGTTTTGAGTAGTGTGATTTTATGTGAGGTAATGGGTGAGTTTTGTGTTTGGTGTAGAGTGAGGGGTAGGTTTGGATGAGGGGGGGGGGGGGGGGGGATGTTGTGGGTGTGTTTTGGTAGGATTGTGGTTGGGGGGGTGATGTTGTAGGGTGTTGGGTGTTTGGGTTGTTGGTGGGGTAGTTTAGGATGTGTGAATGGGTGGGGGTGTTGGTGGAGTGTGGGTTTTTATGGGGGTTTGTGGGTGGTGGTGGGGGTTAGGGTTGGTTGGGTGGTTTGTGTGGTGGGGGTGTTGGTGGGGGGTTTAGGGTGGGGGGGGGTGGTGTTGGGGTGGGTGGGGTGGTGGTGGTGGGGGTGGGGTTTTGGGTGTTTGTTTTTTGTGGGGGGGGGGTTTGGGGGTGGATGGTGTGGGTGGGGGGTGTGTGTTGGGGGGGGGGGGGGGGGTGGGGGTGTGGTGGTGTTGGGTGTTGTTGGGGGGTGGGGGTGTGGGGGTGTGTTTTTGTGGTGGGTGGGGGTGTGGGGGGGGTTGTGGTGGTTTTGGGGGTTGGTGGGATGTGGTTGGGTTGTGTGTGTGGGTGTTGTGGTGTTGGAGGTTGTGGGTGGGGAGTGTTGAGATTGAGGGTGGAATGTAAGGGGGTATTAATAGATGGGGGGAGAAGGGGTGGGGGGGTTAATGTTTGTGATTGTGTGTGGGGTGTGTGGGGGTTGGTGGGTGGTGTGGGGTGGGGTGTGGTGGATAAGGGTGGAGTGAGTGTGGTGTGGGGGGTGGGTGTTGTGTTGGGTGGTGGGTGGGGGGGGGGGGTTTGGGGGTGGGGGGGGGGTGGGGGGTTGGTGGGTGGTGGATTGGGGGGTGGGTGGGGTGGGGGTTTTTGTGGGGGGGTGGGGTTATGTGGGTGGGGTTATGGGGTTGGTGTGTTGTGATGGGTTTGGTTTTGTGGTGGTGGGGGTAGTGATGGGGGATGGGTACATGGGGTTTGTTGGTGGTTTTATGTTTTTGTGGGGGGTGTGTTTTTGTAGGGGTGTGGTTGGGGGGGGTGGTTGGTTGGTTGGGGGGGTTGGGGTGGGGGGTGGGGGGGTGGTTGGGGGGGGTGGTTGGTTGTGTGGTGGGGGGTGGTGTGGGGTGGTGTGGTGGGTTGGGTTTTTTGTGTGTTGTGGGGGGTTGGTGGGGGGGGTGTGTTGGGTGTGGGGGGGGTGGGGGTTGGGGGTGGGTAGGGGGGGTGTTGGGTGGGGGTGGTTGGTGGGGTGGGTTTGGTTTGGGGGTGGTTTTGTGGTGGGAGTTTTTGGTGTGGTTGGTGGTGTTGGGGTGGGGGGTGGTGGGGGTGTGGGGTGGTTTGGGTGGTGGTGGTTGGTTGTGGTGGGTGGTTGGGTTGTGGTTGGGGATGGTGGGGTGGGGGGGGTTGGTGTGTTTATTGGGTGGGGTTTTGTGGGGTTGGTGGGGTTGGTGTGGGTGGTGGGTGTGGTTTGTGGGGGGGTTGGGGTGGTTGTTGTGGAGTTGGGGGGGGTGGTTGGTGGGGTTGGGGGGGGGGTAGGGGTGGGTTAGGTGGGGGGGTGGGGGGTTTGTTGGTTGGGTTGTGTTTGGTTTGGTGTTTTGTGTGGTGGGGTTTTAGGTTGTTGTGGAGGTTGGTGGGGGGGTTGTGTGGGGGGGGGGGGGGGGTGGGGTTTGGGTTGGGGGGTGTGTGTTGTTTGGGGTGTTGTTGGGTGTTTGTATGGGTTGGGGGGGTTTGGATTGGGTTTTGGTTTGTGGTGTGTTGTTTGTTTGTTGTTTGTGTGTTGGTGGGGTTAGGGGTTGGGGTAGTGTTGGTGTGGGGGTGTGGGTTTGTGTTTGGTTGTGGTGGGGGGGGGGGGTGGGGGGTGGGGTTGGGGGGTTTGGTGTGGGGGGGTTTGTGGGGGGGGTGGGTGGGGGGGGGGGGGTGGGTGGTTGAGGGGGGGGGGGTGGGGGTGGTTGGTGGGGGTTGGGGGGGGGGGGTGGTTGGGGTGTTGGGTTGTTGGGGGGGTGGGGGGGGGGGGGGGGTGGGGTGGGTGTGGGTTGGTGGTGGTTGGGGGTTTGTTTTTGTGAGGGTGTGGTGTGGGTTGTGAGTGGTGGTGTGATTGGGGAGGGGGGTTGGGTGGTTTTGGGGAGTGTTGATGGGGGGTGGGGGTTGTTGTGTGGGTTTGTTGGGTGAGTGGTGGGATTGTTTTGTGGTGTTGGTGTTTGTTGGGTGATTGGTGTGGTGGGATTTGGGGTTGGGTGGTGTTTGGTGTTGTGTGGGGTGGGGTTGGGATGGTTTTGGGGGGTTGGGGGTTTGGGAGGGTGGTTGGGGGGTGGGTTTGGGTGTGGATGGTTTGGGTGGGGTGTGGGGGGGGGGGTGTATGGTTGTTTGGGGGGTTGGTGTTGGGGGGTTGGGGTTTTGTTGAGGTTGGGGTTGTTTAAGTGGGGGGGGTGTGGGGTGTGGTGGGGGTTTTAGTTAGTGGGGGGTGGTGGTGTGGGAGGGGTAGGGGGTTGGTTGTGGGGGGGGTTTGGGGGGGGTGGTGGGTGGGGTATTGGGGGTGGTGTGGGTGTTGGATTGGGTGGTGGTTAGGTGTTGGGGGGGGTGGTGTGGTGGTTTTGTGTTGTGGGTTGTGTGGTGTGTTTTGTGTTTTTTATTTTTGTGTTGTGTGTTTTTGTGGTTTTGGGTGTTTGTTGGGGTTTTTGTGTGGGTGTGGGGTGGGTGGTGGGGGATGAGGAGAGAGGGGGTTAAGGAGGTAGATGTGTTAGTATGTATAGTTTGTTTATTTGGTGTGGTGTGTTTTTGTTGTTGAGGTAATATTTTTGGTGTTAGTTGTGGTATAGGAATTATTTTGTTAGTGTGTGTTTGTGGTTGGGGTTTGTTTTTTGTGTGGGTTTGGGGGTTTTTGTGGGTGGGGGGTGTGTGGTGGGGGGGGTGGGGTGGGGGGGGGGGTTGGGGGGGGGTGGGGGTTGTGTGGTTGGTTGGGTGTTGGTTGGTTGGTGGGTGGGGGGGGTTGTTGTTGGTGGGGGGGTGGGTGGGGGTTGGTTTTGGGGGGTGTGGGTGGTGTGTGGGGTGTGGGGTTGTTGGGTTGTGTGTGTTGTTGTTGTGGTGGTGGTGGTTTGGGGGGTTGTGGGTTTGGGTGGTGGTTTTTTTGGTGGGGTTGTTGTTGTTGTTGTTTTGTTTTTGTGTGTGTGTGGGGGGGGGTTTTGGGGGGGGGGTGTGGGGTGGGTGGTGGTGTGGGGGGGGTTGTGGTGGGTTGTTTGTGTGTGTGGGGGGGGGTGGTGTGGGGGGGTGGGTTTGTGGGGGGTGGGGGGGGGGGGTTGGTTGGGGGTGGTGTTGTGGGGGGGGGGTGGGGGGGGGGTGGGGGGGTGTGGGGTTGGGGGTTGTGTGTGTTTGTGGGGGGTGGGGGCGGGGGGGGGTTTGGGTGTTTGTGGTTGTGTTGGTGGGTGGTTGGGGGGGTGGGTGTTTGGGGTGGTGTGTAGGTGGTTTTGGTGGGTGGGGTGGTGTTGGGTGGGGGGGGGGGTTGGGGGGGTGGTGTTGTGTGGTGTGGTTTGGTGTTGGGGGGTGGGGGGGGGGGGTGGTGGGGGGGGGGGGGGGGTGGGGGGGGGGGGGTGGGTGTGTTGGGGGGGGTGGTGGGGGGTGGGGGGGGGGGGGGGGGTGGTTTTGGGGTGGGGGGGGGTTTTGGGGTGGTGTGTGGGGGTGGGGGGGGTGGTGGGGTTTTGGGGGTGGGGGGGGTGGGTGTGGGGGGGTGGGGTGTGGGGGGGTGTTTGTGGTGGGGGTTGGGTGTGTGGGGGGGGTGGGGGGGGGGGGGTGGTTGGGGGTGTGGTGGTTTTGGGGTGTGTTGTGTGTGGGGTGTTTTGTGGTTGGTGTTGGTGTTGGGGGGTGGGGGGGGGGGGGGGGTTTGTGTGGGGTTGGGTGGGTGGTGGGGGGGGGGTGGGTGTTGGGGTGGGTGGTGGGGGTGGGGGTGGGGGTGGGGTGGGTGGGGGGTTGGGTTGGGGTGTGGGGGGGGGGGTGGGTTGGGTTGGGGTGTGGGTGGGTGTGGGGTGGGGGGTGGGGGGGGGGGGGGTTGTGTTGTGGGGGTGTTGTTGGGTGTTGGGGTGGGGTGGGTTGGGGTGTTGGATGGTGTGGTTGGGGGTTTTGGGGGTGGTGTGGGGGGGGGGGGGTGGTGTGGGGGGGGGGGGGGTGTTGGGGGGTGGGGGGGTGGGTTGTGGTGGGGGGTGGGTTGTGGGGTGGTGGTTTTGTTTTTTGTGGGGTGGTTTGGTGTGTGGGTGTTGGTTGGGGGGTGTTTGGTGGTTTGGTGGGGGGGTGGGTGGTTGGGTGTGGGGGGGGGTGGGGGGGAGGGGTGTGTGGGGGTGGGGTTTGGGGGTGGGGGGTGGGGTTGGTGTTGGGGGGGTGGTTGTGGGGTTGTGTGGTGTGGGGGGGTGGTTGGGTGGGGTGTGGTGGGTGGGTGGGGGGTGGGGGTGTGGTGTGGGGGGGGGGTGGGGTGTTGGGGTGGGTGGGGGGGGGGTGGGTGGGGTTGGGGGGGTGGGGTGTGTGGTGGGTTGGGTGTTGGGGTGTGGGGGGGGGGGGGGTGGTGGGGGGGGGGGGGGGGGGGGGGGGGTGTTTGTGGGTGGGGTGTGTGGTGGGTGGTGGTGTGGGTGGGGGGGGTGGGGGGGGGGGGTGGTGGGGGGGGGGGGGGTGTGTGGGGTGGGGGTTTTGTTGGTTGGTGGGGGGGGGTGTGGTGTGTGTGGGGTTGGGGTGGGTTGGGGGGTGGGTTTGTGGTGGGGGGGGGGTGTTATGTTGGGTTGTGGGGGGTGGTGGGGGGGGGGTGGGTGGTGGGGTTGGGGGGGGGGGGGTTGGTGTGGTTTTGGTGTGTTGTTTGTGTTGGTTGGGGGTTGTGTGGTGGGGTTTGTGGTGGGTGGTTGGTTTTGTTGGGTTTGTTGTTTGTGGTTTTTGGTTTTTGGTGTGTTGGTTTTTTTTTTTTGGGGTGTGGTGTGTTGGGTGGGTTTTGGGGGGGGTTGGGTGGGGGTGGGGGTTTGGGGGGGTGGGGGTGGGTTTTTGTGTGGTGTGTTGTTTTGGTTGGTGGGTGTTTTTGTGGGGGGGTGGGGGTGGGTTGGTGGGGGTGGGGTTGTGGGGGGTGTTGTGGTGGTTTTTTGTGGGGGGGGGGGGGTGTTTTTTGTTGGGGGGGGGGGGTGGGTGGGTGTTGGGGGGGGGGGGGGGGGTTGGTGGGTGGGGGTTGTGGTTGTGGTGTGTTTTGTGGTGTTGGGGGTTGGTGGGTGGGGTGGGTGTGTGTGGGTGGGTTGGTTGGGTTGTGTGTGGGGGTTTGGGGTGTTGGTTGGGGGGGGGGGTTGGGGTGTGGGGGGGGGGGTTGGGGGGTGGGTGGTGGTGTTGGTTGTTGTGGGGTGTGGGTGTGGGTTTTGTGTGTTGGTTGGGGTGTGTGGGGGTTGGTTTGGGGGTTGGGGGGGGTTGGGTTGTGGGTGGGTATGGTAGGGGGGTGTGAGGGGTGGGGTTGTGGTGGTGGGGGTGGGTGGTGGTGGGGGTGGGTAATGGTGTGTGGGGGTGGGGGGTGGTGGTTGGGGGTGGGTGGTTTGGGGTGTTGTTGGTTGTGGGTGGGGTGTGGGGGGTGGGGGTATGGGGTGGGGGGGGGTTTGGTTTGGTTGTGTGGGGTGGGGGGGGGGGGTTGGGGGGTGTTTGTTGGGGTTTGGGGTGTGTGGTGTTGTTGGGGGGGAGTTGTTGGGGGGGGTGTTTGTTGTTGGGGGTTTTTGTTGGGTTTTGGGTGGGGGGGGTGGTGTGGTTTGGGTGGGGTTGGGGGGTTGTTGGTGGGTGGGGGTGGTTTGGGGGGGGGGGGGGGATTGTGTGGGGGGGTTGGGGGGTGGGGGGGGGTGGGGGGGTTGTTTGTGGTTGTTGTTGTGGGGTTGGGGTGGGGTGTGTGGGGGGTGGGGGGGGTGTGGTGTGGGGGGGGGGGGTGTGTTTTGGGGGTTTGGGGGGGGGGGGGGGTTGGTGGTGGGTGTGGGTTGGGGGGGGTGTTGTGGGGGGGTTTGTGGGGTGGGGGTTGTGGGGGGGGGGGTGTTGTGGGGGGGGGGGGGGGGGGGGGTTGGGGGGGTGGGGGGGTGTGTGTGTGGGGGGGTGTGGGGGGGTGGGGGGGTGGGTTGGGTTGGGGGGGGTGGGGGGGGGTGGGGGGGGGGGGTGGGGGGGTGGTTGGTGGGGGTGGTGGGGGTTGTGGGTGTGGGGGTGGGGGGGGGGGGGGGGGTGGGGGGGGTGGGGGGTGTGGGGGGGGGGGGGTGGTGGGGGGTGGGGTGGGGGGTGGGGGGGTGGGGGGGGGTGGGGGGGTGTGTGGGGGGGGGGTGGGGGGGGTTGTTGGGGGTTTGGTTTGGGTTGGGGGGGGGTTTTTTGTTGGGGGGGGTGGGGTTGGTTTGGTTGTGGTTGGTTGGGGTGGTGTGGGGTGTGTTGGGTGGTTGGGGGGTTGTGGGGGGTGGGGGGGGTGGGGGGGGGGGGGGGGGGGGGTGTGGTGGGGTGTGGGTGTGTTGTGGGTTGGTGGTGGGGGGTGGGGGGTGTGGGGTTTGTGTTTGTTTGTGGTGTGTGTGGGTTGTGGGGGGGGGGTTGGTGGGTGGGTGGGGGTGGTGGTGGTGGTGGTTTTTGGGGGTGGTTGTTGGGGGGGTGGGTGTTTGGGTGTGGTTGTGGGGGTGGGGGGGGTGGGGTTGTTGTTGTTGGGGGGGGTGGTGGGGTGGTGGGTTGTGGTTTGGTTTGGTGGGGGGGTGGGGTGGGTTGGGGTGTTTGGTGGGGGGTGTGGGGGGGGGGGTGGGGGGTGGGTGGTTGGGTGGGGGTGGGGGGTGTGTGGGTTTGGTGAGTGTTGGGTGGTGTGGGGTTTTGGGTGGGTGGGTGGGGGGTGGTTGGGTTGGGGGGGGGGTGGGGTGTGTGGGTTGTTTGTGGGGGGGGTGTTTGGGGTGTTTGGTGGTGTGGGTGGTGGGGTGGGGGGTTGGTTGGGTTTTGGTGTTTTGGGTGGGGGGGGGTTGTTGGGGGTGTGGTGGGGTTTGGTGGGGGGGGGGGGGTTGGGGTGTGGGTTTGGGGTGTTTGTTTGTGGGGTGAGGGGGTTGTTGGTTTGTTGATGTGTTTATTTTGAAGTGAGTTGGTGTGGGGTGGTGGGTGGGTGGGGGGTGGGTGGTTGGGTTTGTGGTGGGGGGTTGTTGGGGGGGGGGGGGGGGGTGAGGGATGTTATTTTGGAGGATGGGTGTAGGTATGTTTGTTATTTTAAGATATTAAAGAGGATGTAATATAGATTAGATGGGGAAAAAGGGGGTGTGTTGGTGGTGGGTATTTGGTGGGGGGTTTGTGTTGATTAGGGTGTTGTTTGATAATTTAGGGTTTTGATATATGGAGTATATTAGTTGTGATAGAGGTTTTTGTTGGGTGGGGGTTTGATGTTTGATTGTTGTATGTGTATTGTTTAAATTTAATGGGTGTGGGGGGTAAGGGGGGGGGTTTGGTTGGGTTGGAGTGGGTGGGTGTGTTGTTGATTTTGATTTTTGGTTTTTGGTTGGTGTTGTGTTGGGGGGGGATGGTTGTTGGGGTGGGTGGGGGAGTGGGGTTTTTGGTTTGGGTGGGTTTGTTTTTGGTTGTTTAGTGGGTTAATGAGATGGTTTGTGTGGTGAGGGAGATTAGGTGGGTAGGTTGTGTGGATTGGTGGTGGTGGGGGTTTTTTTGGGGGGGTGGTTTGTTGGTTGTGTGGTGGTTTTGGGTGTGGGGTGTGAGGGTGTTTTGGGGTTGGTTAGGGGTGAGTTGGGATTGTGTAGTTAGGTAGTTGGGGGGGAGGTGGAGGTGGGGTGTGGTGGTGGTTTGGGGGGGTTATGGTGTGGGGGGTTGGGGTTGTGGTGATGGGTTTGGGGGGGGGGGGGGGGGGTTGGGGGGGGGGTGGAGGGGGGGGTTGGGGGTTGTGGGGTGGGGTTGTGTGGGGGTGTGGGTGGGTGGGGGTGGGGGTGGGTGGGTGGGGTGGGGGGGGGGGGGGGGGTGGGGGGGGGGGGGTGGGGGGGTGGTTGGGTTGGGTTGGGGGGGGGGGGTGGGGGTTGGGGGGGGTGGTTTTGGTGGGGGGGGTGTGGGTTGGGGGGTGTGGGGGGTGGTTTTAGGTGTGGGTTTGTGGGGGGGGGGGGTGGGGGGTGGGGGGGGGGGGGGGGGGGGGGGGGGGTTTGGTGGGGGTGGGTGGGGGGGGGTGGTGTTTGGGGGGTGGTGGTTTGGTGGGGGGTTGGTGGGGGGTGGGGGTGGGGGGGGTGGTTTTTGGTTAGTGTGGTGGATTGGGGGGATGTATGGGTTGTGGTTGGGGGGGTATGGGTGGATTGTGGGGGGGTGTGGGTTGGTTTGGGGTGGTGGGTGTTGTGGGGGGGTGTGGGTGATGGGGGGGGATTGGGGTGGTTGGGTGGGGGGGGGGGGGGGTTGGGTGGGGTGGTTGTTGTGTTGTTGTGGTGTTGGGTGGGGGGGGGGGGGGTGTTTTGGTTGGGGTGTGGGGGGGGGGGGGGGGGGGGGGGTGGGTGGGGGTGGGTGGGTTGGGGGGGGGGTGGGGTGGGGTGGTTGGGGGGGGGATGTGGGGGGTGGGGTGGTGGGGGGGGGGGTTGGGTGTGGTGTTTGTTGTAGTGGTTAGATGTGGTTGTGGTTGTTGTGGTGGATTGTTATTGGGGGATTGGGGGGTTGTGGGGGGTGTTGTGGGTTGGGGTGGGTGTGGGGGGGGGGGGGGAGGGGGGGGTGTGGGGGGGGGGGGGGGGGTTGGTGGGGGGGGGGGGGGGGGGGAGGTTGGGGGGGTTGGGGGGGGGGGTGGGGGGGTGTGGTGGGGTGGGTGGTTGGGGTGGGTTGGGGGGTGGGTGGGGTTTTGTTGGGTGGTTGGTGTGTGGGGTGGGTTAGGTGGGGTGGGGGTGGGGGGTTGTGGTGTTGGGGGTGGGGTGGTGATGTGGGGTGTGGTGTGTTGTGTGGGGGTGGGTGGGTTGTGGGGGGGGGGGGGGGGGGGGTGGGGGGTGGGGGTGGTGGTTGGGTGGGTGGGTTGTTGGGGTTTGGTTGAGGGTGGTGTTGGTTGGGGGGTTTGGGTTTTTTGGGGGGTGGGGGGGGGGGGGGGGGGATGGGTGGGGGGGGGGTGGGGGTGGGGGGTGGGGGGGGTTTGGGGGGGGGGGGGGTGGGTGGGGGGGGGGGTGGGGTGTGGGGGTGGGGGGGTTGGGAGGGGGGGTGTTGTGGGGGGTTTGGGGGGGGGGGGGGGTTGGGGTGGGGGGTTGTGGGTGGGGTGGTGGGTGTTTTTGGTTTTGTGGGGGGGTGTTTTGGGGGTGGGGGGTGGTGTGGGGGGTTGGGGTGGGGGGGGGGGTGGTGTGGGGGGGGGGGGTTGGTGTTGGGGGTTGGGGTGGGGGTGGGTGGGGGGGGGGGGTGTTGGGTGTTGGTGGGGTTGTGGGGGGTGGGGTGTGTGGGTGGGGTGTTGGTGTTTGGGGGGGTGGGGGGGTTGGTGTGTGTTTGGGGGGGGGGGGTGGGGGTGTGGGTTGGGTTGGGGGTGGGGGTTGGGGGGTGGGGGTGTTGGGGGTGTGGGTTGGTGGTTTGGGGGTTGTGGGGTTGGGTGGTGGGGTGGTGGGGGGTTTGGGTTTGTGTTTTGTGGAGGAGTGTTTTGGTGTGGGGGTGGTTGGGGGGGGGTGGTGGTTTGGTGGGTGTGTGGTGGGGTTGGTTGGGTGGGGGGGTGGTAGTGGTTGGGTGTGGGTTGGGTGGTGGGTGTTGATGGTGGGGTATGGAGGTTGTGGTGGGAGTGGTGTGTTTTGGTGTTGGGTGTGGGTATGGTTGGTGTGGTTTTTTGTGGGGTGGGGGAGTGGTTGTGTGGGTTGGGTGGTTTGATGGGAGGTGGAGATATGGTGAATATTGGGGTTTGGTTGGGGGGTTGGTAGGTGGTTTGTGGTTGTGGGTGGGTGTTAGGGGAGGTTGGTGGTATTTTGGAGGTTTGTGTGGTGGGTAATGTTTGGGGTGGTGTTTATTTATTTGGGTTGGTAGTGTATGGTGGAGTTTGGTTTAGGGGTTGGGGGGGGTGGTGGTATGGTGTGGTGGGGGGGGGTGTTGTTGGGGGGGGGGGTTGGGTGGGGGTTTGGGTTTGTGTGTGTGTGGTTTGGTTTGTTTGGTGGTTGGTAGGGGTTTGGGGGTTTGTTGGGGGGTGGGTGGTTTGTTGATATTGATGGGGGATATGGGTTTGGTTGGGGTGGTTTGTTGAGGGGGTGTGGGGGTTTATGTGGGTGTGGGTTGGTTGTTTGGTTTAGGTGGGTGGGATTGGGGTGGAGGGGTGATGGGGTGGGGAGAGTGGGGTTAATTGTTTGTGGGGTGGTTTGGTAGGTGATTAGTGGGTTTTTTTAGGAGAGATTGGGGATGGTGTGGGGGGGATTAGAGGGGGGAGATTGTGGGTTGTGGTGTGGGGTGGGGGGGTGGTTTTGGGGGGGGGGGGGGGTTTGGGTGTGGGGGTTTGGGAGGTGTGGGGGTGGGGGGGGGTGGTGGGGGTGGTTGTTGGTGGTGGTTGTGATTGTGGGGTTTTGGGGTGTGGTTGGTAGGGTGGGGGTTTGTGTGGTTGGGAGAAGTTGGGTGTAGTGTGTTGTGTTGGTTTAGGGGGGGGTTTTGTTGTGTTGTTGGTGGGGGGGGGGGGTGGGTTGGTTGGGGTGGTTGGTTGGGGGTGTGGGTGGGTTGGGGGGGGGGGGGGGGTTGTGGTGGGTGGGGGGGGTGTTGTTGATTTGTGGTGGGGTGAGGTTTTTGGGGGGGATGATGGAGTTTTTGTGGTAGATGTTGGGTGGTGGGGGGTTGTGTGTTGGGTGGTTGGGGTAGTTGGGGTGTTGGTGTGTGTGTGGTGATTTGGTTTTGGGTGTTTGGTTTTTGGTGGAATGGGTGTGATGTGGTTGGGGTATGGTGGGAGTGGGGGGGTGATGGTTGTGTGATTGTTGATGTTGTGGGGGGGGTTGTGTTGGTTGGGGGGGAGGGGTAGTGGTGGGGGGGTGTGTTTGTGGGTGTTTGGTGGGGGTTTGGTTTGGTGTTGTGGGTGGGTGAGTGTTGTGGAGGGGGGGTGAGGGGGTTGGGTGTTGGGGTTGGTGTGGTGGTGGGGGTTGTGGGGTTTGGTTGGGGGGTTGGTGGGTGGGTGTGATTTTTTTTTAATAGGGAGGTGGGGGAGTTTGAGATGTATATATGTTAAAATTATGTGTTGGGGAAATGGGTGTTAGAGAGGGGGTGGGTGGAGAGGGGATTATGGGGTATGGGGTGGGGGGGGGTGGGGTATTATGGAGGATATTGGGTTTATAATTGGGAGGTGTTTTGGGGGGGGGGGTGAGGAAAAGGGAGTGATTTGGGAGATGGGTTTGGGTTGAGTGTGGGGTTGGAGAGGTGTGTTAGGGAGGAGGGTATATGGTAGTGGTTTTGATAGAGTGTATGAAGATGGTAGATGGAGGTGGAGTGGAGGGTGAGATTAGAGGTATTGGAGGGGGGTTATTGTTTAAGGGGGTGTTTTGTTGGTGTGGGGGGATATGGGGGGGGTTGTGTGTGATTGGAGTAGATTTGGTTGAAATTAGTTTGGGGAGAGGGTGTGGGGGGAGAATTAGGAGAGATATAGGTTGGTATGTTTTTTTGTTGTGTAGTGGGGTGGGTTTGGGGGGGGATGGGGGTGGGGGGGGGGTGGTGAGTGGGGGGTTTGGGGTATGGGGGATTGGGGTGATGGGTGTGTAGGTTGAAGGGGGGTGTTGGGGGGGGGGGTGTTAGGTGGGGTTTGGGGGTGAAATATTTTTGAAATGTGTTGTTTTGTGATTGATAGAGGTGGTTTGGTTTTGGTGAGTAGGGGTAGGTATATGGAGGTGGGGTTGTGATGTTTGTATATATAGTTTTTTGATGGGGGGGAGTAGAAGGGGAGGTAAGTATGTGGAGAGGAATTGGGATGGGGAGATGGATAGGGGGGGGTGGGTAGGGGGGTTGGGGGTAGGTTGGTTGGGGTGGTGGTTTTGAGTTGGGGGGGGAGGTGTGGGTGGTTGATGAGGGGTTGGATGTTGATTTTGTGGGTTGTGTGTGTGTGGTGGGGGGGATTGTGTTTGTGTGATGTGGGTTGGGGGGTTTGTTGATGGGGTGGTGTGGTGGGGGTGGGTATGGGGGGTGGTTTTGTTGAGGGGGGTGTTTTTGGAGTGTTGGGGATGTTGTTTTGATTTGATGGAGGGTTGGGGGATGTGGGGTTGGTGGTTGTGTGGGGGTTGGTATTGGGAGGAGTGTGTTGGTAGATGTGGGTGGAGGTTGGGGTGGGGTGTTGGTGGGTGGGTGTGGGGGGTGGGTGGTTTGGGGGGGTATTTTGGGGGAGGGGTGGTGGGGTGGGTGGGGGGGTTGGGGGGTGGGGGTTTGGGGGTGGGGTTGGGGTTGTGGTTGGGGTGGGTGGGGGGTTGGGGGGGGTGGGGGGGGTTGGTGGGGGGTGGTTTTGGAATTTGTGGATTGTTATTGTTGGTTTGGTGTTTTGTGGTGTGGTGTGTTTTGTGTTGGGTTGTTGTTTTGGGTGGGGGGGTTGTTTGGTGGGGGGGGGTGGGGTTGGGGTTGGGTGGGGTGTGTGGTTGTGTTGGGGGTGTTGTTGGGTGGGGTGTTTTGTGTGGGGGGGTGGGGTTTTTGGTGGGTGTGGTTGGTGTGTGTGTGTTTTGTTTGTGTGTTGTGGGTTGGTTGGGTTGGGGGGGTTTTTGGTTGGGTGGGTGGGGGGGTGGGGGGTTTGGTTGGTGTTTTTGGGGGGGGGGGGGGGGGGTGGGGGGTGGGGTGGGGTGGTGGGTGTGGGGGGGGGGGAGGGGGGTGGGGGGGTGGGGGGGGGGGGGGTGGTTGTTGGTGGGGTGGGGGGGGGGTGGGGTAGGGGGGGGTGGTGGGTGGGGGTGGTGGGTGTGTGGTTTGGGGGGGGGGAGGGGGGGGGGGGGGGTGGTGGGTGGGGGTTGTGGGGGTGGGGGGTTTGGGGGGTGTGGGGGTGGGGTGGGTGTGGGGTGTGTGTGGGGGGGGGGGGGGGGGGGGTTTGGGTGGGGGGGGGGGGGGTGGGTGTGGGGGGGGGGTGGGGGGTTGGGGGGTGTTTTGTGTTGTGTTGGGGGGTGTGGGTGGTGGGTGGGGGGGTGTGGTGTTGGGGGGTGTGTGGGGGGGGGGGGGTGGGGAGTGGGTGGGGGGGGTGGGGTTGGGGGGGGTTGGTGGGGTGGTGGTTGGGGTGGGGTTTGGGGGTGTGGTGTGTGGGGTGGGGTGATGGGGGGGGGTGTTGGGTGGTGGGGGGGGGTTGGTGTTGGGGGTGGGGTTGGTTGTTGTGGGGTGTGTTGTGTGGGGGGTGGTGTGGTGGGGATGGTGGGGGGTTGTTGGTGGGGGGGGTGGGTGGTGTGGGGTTGGGGGGGTTGGGGTTGGTTGGTGGGTTGTGGGGGGGTGGGGTGGGGTGTGGGGGGTGTTGGGGGGTTTGTTTGTGTGTTGGTATGGGTGTTGGTGGTTTTGTAGGTGTTTTGATAGTTTGATTTTTGTTTTTGTTTGTTGGTTGTGATTTGTGTGTTGTGTGTTTTTGTTTGTGGTTGGTGTTGTGTTGGGGTTGTTGTGTGGGGGGGGGGTGGGGGGTGGTTGTTTGTGGGGGTTTGGTGGGGGTTGTGGGTGGTGTTTTGATTTTGTGGGGTTTTGTGAGGTGTGTTGTGGGTGGGGGGGGTGGGTTGTGGTGTTGTGTGTTGTTTGGATTTGTTTTGTTTGTTTTGTGTGTTTTTGTGTGGTGTGTTTTGGGTGGGTTTGGGTTTTGGGGGTGGGGTTTGTGTGGGGGGGGGTTGTGGGTTGGGGGGGGTGGGGGTGGTTTTGGGGTTGGGTGTGTGGGTTGGGTGTTGGGGTGGGGGGGGGTTGTGTGTTTGGGGGGGTGGTGGGGGTTGGTTTTGGGGGTGTGTGGTTTGGGGGTGTGGGGGTTTTGGTGTGTTGTGTGTGTTGTGTGTTGGTGTGGTTTGGGGGGGGTTGTTTTTGGGGGGTTGTTGTTTTTTGTGGTGGGGTTGTTGTTGTGTTGTTTTGTTTTTGGTGGTGTGTGGGGGGGGTTTGGGGGGGGGGGTGTGGGGGTGGTGTTTGTGGGGGGGGGTTGTGGGTGGTGTGTTTGTGTGTGTGGGGGGTTGGGGTGGGGGGTGGGGGTTTGGTGGGGTGGGGGGGGGGGGGGTGGGTGGGGGGTGGTGTTGTGGGGGGGGGGGGTGGGGGGGGGTGGGGGTGTTGGGGGTGTTGGGTTTGTGTGTGTTTGTGGGGGGTGGGGGGTGGGTGGGTTGGGTTGTGTGGTTGTTAGGTGGTGGTTGGGGGGGTGGGTGTTGGGGTTGGTGTGGTGGGGTGGGTTTTTTGGGTGGGGTGGTGGGGGGTGGGGGGGGGGGGGTTGGGGGGGTGTTGGGTGTGGGGGGTGGTGTGGGGTGTGGGTTTGGGTGTTTTGGGGGGGGGGTGGGGGTGGGGGGGGGTGTGGGGGGGGGGGGGGGTGGGGGGGGGGGTGGGGTGGTGTGGGGGGGGGTGTTGGGGGGGTGGGGGGGGGGGGGGGTGGTTTGGGGGGGTGGTGGGGGGTTGGGTGTGTGTGGGTGGGGGGGGGTGGGGGTTTTGGGGGTGGGGGGGGGGGTGGGTGGGGGGGGTGGGGGTGGGGTGGGGTTTGTTTGTGGGGGGGGTGTGTGGTGTGTGGGGGTGGGGGTGGGGGGGGGTGGGTTGGGGTGGGTGGTGGTGGTTGGGGTGTGTGGTGTGTGGGTTGTGTGTTGGTGGGGTTTGTGTGTGGTGTGGGGGGGGGTGGGGGGGGGGGGGGTTTGTGTGGGGGTGTGGGGGGTTGGTGGTGGGGGGGGGGGTGGGGTGTGGGGTGTGTGGTGGGGTGGGGGTTTGTGGTGGGTGTGTGGGGGTGGGTTTGGGGTGGTGGGGGGGGTTGGGTTGGTTTGGGGTGTGGGTGGGTGGTGGGGTGGGGGTGGGGGGGGGTGTGTGTTGTGGGGTGTTGTGGGGGGTTGGGTGGTGGGTTGGGGTGGTGGTTTTGTTGGGGGGGTTGGGTGTGTGTGGGGGGTGGGGGGTTGGGGGGGGGGGGGGTGGGTGTGGGGGGGGGTGGGGGGGGTGGGGGTTGTGGGTGGGGTGGGTTGTGGGGTGGTGGGTTTTTGTTTTTGTGGGTGGTTTTGTGTTTGGTGTGTGGTTTGGGGTGTAAGGTGGGGTGTGGGGTGGGGTGGTTGGTGTGGGGGTGGGGGGGGTGGGGGGGTGGGGGTGGGTGGGGGGGGGTGGGGGGGGGGGTGGGGGGGGGTGGGGGTTGGTTTGGGGGGTGGTTGTGGGTTTTGTGTGGTGGGGGGTGTGGGGGGGGTGGGTGGTGGGGGTGGGTGGGGGGTGGGTGGTGGTGTGGGGGGGGGGGTGGGTGTGGGGGGTGGGGTGGGGGGGTGGTGGGTTGGGGTAGGGTGTGTGGTGGGTTGTGTGGGGTTGGGGGGGGGGGTGGGTGGGTGGGGGGGGGGGGGGGGGGGGGGGGGGGTGTTGTGTGGGGGGGTGTGGTGTGGGGTGGTGGGTTGTGTTTGGGGGGGTGGGGGGGGGGGGGTGGTGGGGGGGTTGTGTGGGGGTGGGTGTTTTGGTGGTGGTGGGGGGGGGGTGTGGTGTGGTGTGGGGTTGGGTGGGGTAGGGGGGTGTGGTTATGGGGGTGGGGGGGGTGTTTGGTTGGTTGGTGGGGGGGGTGGTGGGGGGGGGTGGGGGTGGGTGGGGGGTTGGGGGGGGGGGGGGGTTGGTTGTTGGGGTGTGTTTTGTGGTTGGTGTGGTGGTGGTGTTGGGTGTTGTGGTGTGGGGGGGTTTGGTGTGTGGGGTTTGTGGTTTGTGGTTATTTGGTGTTTTGGTTGTTTTGTTTTTTTATTTTTGGTGTGTGTTTGGGGTTTGGGTTTTGGGGGGGGGGTTGGGTTGGTGGGTTAGGGGGAGGGGGTGGGGTTTTGTGTGGGGGTGTTGTTGTTTGGTTGGGGGGTGGTTTGTTGTGGGGGGGTGGGGTGGGTTGTGGGGGGGGGGTTTGTGGGTGTGTGTGTGGTTGTGTGGGGGGGGGGGGTTTTTTTGTTGGGGGGGGGGGGGGTGTGGGGGGGGGGTTGGTGTTGGGGGGTGGGGGGGGTTGTGGGTGGGGGTGTTGTTTGTGGTGTGTGTTGTGTGTTGGGGGGTGTGGGGTGGGGTTGAGGGGGTGGTGTGGTGTGGGTGGGTTGGTGGGGGTGTGGGTTGTGTTGTGGTGTTGGGGGTGTGTGGTGGGGGGTGTTGGGTTGGGGGGGGGTGGGGTGGTGGTGTGTGTTGTGTTGTTGTGGGGGGTTGGGGGGTGTGGGGTTGGGTGTTTGGGGGGTGGGGGGGGTGGGGTGGGGGGGGGTGGGGTTTGGGTGGTGTGGGGGTGTGGGGTGGGGGGGTTGGGGGTGGGTGGTGGTGGGTGGGTTTGTTGTGTTGGGGGGGGGGGTGGGTGGGGGTTGGGGGGATGGGTGTGGTTGTGGTGGGGGGGTGGGTGGGGGGGGGGGGGTGGGGGGTTTGTGGGGTGGGGGGGGGGTGGGTTTGGGGTTGTGTGGGTGGGGGGGGGTGGGGTTTTGTGGGGTGGGTGGTTGGATGGTTGTGTGGGGGTGTGGTTGGGGGGGGGGGGTGGGGTGGGGGTTTGTGTGTGGGGGGTGTGGGGGGGGTTGGGGGGGGTGGTGTTGGGGGGGTGGGGTTGGGGTGGTGGTGGGGGTGGGTGGTGTGGGGGGGGTGTTTGTGGGGGGTTGGGGGGTGGGGGGGGGGGGGGTTGTTTGTTGTTGTGGTTGTGGGTTGGGGTGTGTTGGGGGGGGTGGGGTGTGGGGTGTTGGGGGGGGGGGGGGGGTTGGGTTGTTAGGGGGTTTGGGTGGGGGGGTTGGAGGGTGGGGGTGGTGGTGGGGGGGGGTTTGGTGGGGGGTTGTGGGGGTGGTGGGGTGTGGGGGGGTGTTGTGGGGGGGGGGGGGGGGGGGTTGGGGGGGGTGTGGGTGTGTGTGTGGTGGGGGGTGATGGGGGGGTGGGGGGGGTGGGTGGGGGTGGGGGGGTGGGGGGGGTGGGGGGGGGGGGGGGGGGGGTTGGTGTGGGGGGGGTGGGGGTGGGGATGGTGGTGTTGGGTGGTGGGGGGGGGGGGGGGGGGGTGGGGGGGGGGGTGGGTTGGGGGGGGGGGGGGTGGTGGGGAGGGGGGTGGGGGGGGGGTGGGGGGGGGGGGGGTGGGGGGTGGGTGGGGGGGGGGGGTGGGGGGGGTTGTGTGGGTTTGGGTTTGTTGGGGGGGGTTATGTTGTGGGGGGGTTGTTGGTTGGTGGTTTGTGGGTTGGGGGTGGTGTGGGTGTGTTGGGTTGGTGTGGGGGGGTGTGTGGGGGTGGGGGGGTGGGGGGGGTTGGGGGGGGGTGTGTGGTGGGGAGTGGTGGGGGGTGGTGGGGTGGTGGGGTTGGTTTGTGGTTGGTGTGTGGTGTGTGTGGAGGTTGGGGGGGGTGGTGGTGGGTGGGGGTGGGTGTGTGGTGGTTTTTTTGGGGGTTGTTGTTGGGGGGGTGGGTTGGTGGTTTTGTTGTGGGGGGTTGGGGGTGGGTTGTTGTTGTGTTGTGGGGGGGGTGTGGGGGTGGTGGGTTGTGTTTTGGGGTGTGGTGGGGGGGGGTGGGGTGGGTTGGGGGTGTTGGGTGGTGTGGTGGGGGGTGGGGGGGGGGGGGGGGTGGGGTGGTTTGGGGGGGGGGTGGGGGGGGTGTGTGGTGTGGGTGGTTGTGGGTGTGGGTGTTTGGGGGTGGGGTGGTGGGGGGTGGTTGGGTTGGGGGGGGTGGGGTTGTTGGGTTGTTTTGTGGGGGGGGTGTGTGGGGGTGTGGTGTGGGTGGGTGTTGTGGGTGGGGTGGGGGGGTTTGGGGTTTTGTGGTGTGGGTGGGGGGGGGTGGTTGGGTTGGTGGGGTTGGTGGGGGGGGGGGGGGTTGTGGGGGGTTTGGGGTTTTTGTTGTGGGTGGGGTTGGTTTGGGGTTGGGTGTGTGTGGTGTGTGGTGTGTGTGGGTGTGGGTGGTGGTGGTGGGGGTGGGTGGGTGGGTTTGGGTGGGTGGTGGTGGTGTGGGTGGGGTGGTGGGGTGGTGGGTGGTGGGGGGGTGGTGGTTTGGGTTTTTGTTGTTATTAGTTGTGTTTGTTGTGTGTTGTGTGGTTTTGGGGGGTGGGGTGGTGGTGTGGGTGGGGTGGTTGTTGTGGGGTGGTGGTTTTGGTTGGGGTGTGTGTTTGGGTGTGTGTGTTGGTGGGAGTGTTGGTTTTTGGGGGGTTGGTGGTGTTTGGGGTTTTTTTTTTGTTTTTGGGGGTGGGGTTGGGGGGGGGGGGTTTGGGGGTGGGGTGGTGGTGGGTGGTTGTTGTGTGGTGGTTTTGTGGGGGTTTGGTGGGGTGTTGTGTGGGGTTTTGTGGGGGGTGTTGGGGGGTGTGGGTTTTGGTTTGGTGGGGTTTGGTTGGTTGGTGTGTTTTGGGTTGAGTTGTGGTGTTGTGGTTTTTTTTTTATTTTTTATGGTTTTTTTTGTAGTTTTTGTGGGGTTTTTTTGGTGGGGTTTTTAGGGTTGGTTTGTTGTGGTGTGTGGTTTGGTTGGGGGGTTGGGGTGTGTTGGGGGTTATGGGTGGTGGGTGGGTGGTTGGGGGTGGTGGGGAGTGGGGGGGGTTTGGGGGGGTGGAGTTATGTGGGTTTGTGGGGTTGGGTGGGGTGTTGGGGGGGGGGGGGGGGGGGGGGGGGGGGGTGTGGGGGGGGGGGGGTGGGGTTGGGGGTTGTTGGTGGGTGTTGGTGGGGTGGGGTGGGGGGTGGGTGGGGTGGGTGGGGGGGGGGGGGGGGGTGGGGGGGGGGGTGGGGGGGGTGGGTGGGGTAGGGGGGGGGGGGTGGGGTTGGGGGGGGTGGGGGTTTGTGGGTGGGGGTTGGTTGGGGGGGTGGGGGGTGGTTTTTTGTGGGTGGGTGGGGGGGGGGGTGGGGGGTGGGGGGGTGGTGGGGGGGTGGTTTGTTGGGGGGTGGTGGGGGGTTGGGGGTTGGTGGGGGTGTGGGGGGGTGGGTGGGGGTGGGGGGGGGTGGGGGGGGGGGTGGGGTTGGGGGGGGGTGGGGGTGGGGTGGGGTGGGTGGGGGGGGTTGGGGTGTGGGGGGGTTTGGGGTGTTGGTTGGGTGGTGGGGTGGTGTGGTGGGGGTTGTTGTAGTGGGTGTGGGGTGGTTTGGGGGGGGGGGGGGGGGGGTTGTGTGGTGGGTTTGGTGGTTGGTTGTGTTTGGGTGGGTGGGGGGGGGGTGTTTAGTGTGGGGGTGTGGTGGGGGGTTGGGGGGGGGGGATGGGGTTGGTTTGTTTTTGTTGGTGTTGTGTGTGGGTGGGGGTGGGGATTGGTGGGGGTTTGTTTTAAGTGGGTGTTATGGGGGAGTTGATGGGGTGGGTGGTTGGATAGGGGAGAAAAGAATATGAAATTTAATATTTGGAGAATATGTGGGGATTAAGTTATAGGTTGATTATGTTGTAGAGGTGGTATTGTTTGGGTGATTTTGGGGGGGGGGGGGGGGGAGGGGTGGAGGGGGGGGGGGGGGGGGGAAGGTTGTTTTGTGGGGGTGTGGTGTGGTAGGGGATTTGTGGGTGAATTGGGTTTGTTGGAGGTGGGGGGGTTATTAGGGAGGGATTGGAGGATTGGGTAGTGGCAGGGGTTGTGGGAGGGGTGTAGGGGGTTTGGGAAGAGGGTGGTGTGTTAAGTGATGTAGGTTGGGATGGGGGGGGGAATGGAGGTGGTTGGGGGGGAGGGGGGGTGTGGGTTGTGGGAGGATGATGGGAAATTGTGTAGTTTTTGTAGGGTTTAGGAGTTGGTTGGTTGGATAGGAGGGGGGGGGGGGGGGTTGGGTTGGGGTGGGGGGTGAGGTTTGTAGGGTGGGGGGGATGGTATGTTGGGTATGGGAGTGGTGGGGTGTTGGGTTGGGGTTTGTGGATTGGATAAGGGGGGGTTGTGGTGGGGGGTTGTATGGGGTTGGGGGGTGTGGGGGGGGGGGGGGGGGGGGGTTTTGGGGGTGGGGGGTTGGGGGGTGGGGGGGGGGTGGGTATGTGGGGGTTGGGGGGGGGGGGTGGGTGGGGGGGGTTGTTGTGGGGGTTTGGGGGGTGGGGGGGTAGGGGTGGGGGGGTTTTGGTGGGGTTGAGTGGTGGTTTTGGGTTTGAGTGTGGTGTGGTTAAGTGGGGTGGGGGGGAGGGGTTGGGGGGGTTTTGGTGGGTTGGGGGTGGGGGGGTGTGGGGGGGGGGTAGTTGGTGGGTTTTGGGGGGGGTGGGTGGGTGGGGGGGGTGGTTGTTTTGGTGGTGTTGTGTTGGGGGGGGGTGTGGTGGGGTATGGGGGTGTTGGGTGGGGGGGGGTGGGTTTGGGTTGTGTTTGGGGGGGGGGGGGGGGGTGGGTGTTGGGGTTGGGGTTGGGGGGAGGGGGGTTGGGGGGGGGTGGGTGTGGGTATGGGGTGGTGGGTGGGGGTTGGTTGGGGGTGGGTGGTGGGGGGGTGGTTGGGGAGGGGGGGGGGGGTTGGGTTTTGGGTGTGGTTGGGGTGGGTTGGGGGGGGGTGGTTGGTTGGTTGGGGGGTGGGGGTGTGGGGGTTGGGGTTGGATTGGGGGTGTGTGGTGGTTGGTTTTGTGGGTTGGGTGGTGGGGTGTTTGGGGTGGGGTTGGGGGGGTTGTTGGGGTGGGGGGTGTTTGTTGTGTGGTGGTGTGGTGGTGGGGTTGGGTGGTGTGGGGGGTTTTGTGGTTGGGGGTGGGTGGTGTGGGGGGGTGTGTGGGTGGGGGTTGGGGGGGGGTGTTTTGTTGTGGGGGGTGGTTGGGGTTTGTGGTGTGTTGGATGATTGGGTGGTTGTATTGTATGGGGTTTGGATTGTAGTTTGGGGATTTGGTTTGTGGGGGGGTTAAGGGGGTGGGGGTTTTAGGTTTGAGTGTGTGGGTTGGGGGAGGGTTTGGGTGGTTTGGTGTGTTTGGGGGGGGGGGGGGGTGAGGTGGTTGGTGTGGTGGGGTGGGTTGGTGGGGGGGGGGATGGGTGGGGGGTTGGGGGGTTTTGGTGTGTGTGTTGGGTGGTGTGTGGTGGGGTGGTTGGGGGTTGGGGGGTGGTGGTGTGGTGTTGGGGGTGTGGTTGGGGGGGTTTGGTGGGGGGGGGGTGGGTTGGTGTGGTGGTTGGTGTGGGGTGGGTGGGTGGGTGGGGTGGGGTGTGTGGTGTGTGGGTGTGTGGGGGGGGGTGTGGGGGGGGGGGGGTTGGGGTGGGGGGGGGGGTGGGTGTGTTGTGTGGGGGTTGTGTGTGGGGGGTTGGGGGGGGTGGTGTGGGGGTGGTGGGGGTGGGGGTGGGGGGGGGGGGGGTGGTGGGGGGGGGGGGGGGGGGGTTTGGGGTGTGGGGGGGTGTGGGGTGGGGGGGTGGGGTGGGGGGGGGGGGGTTGTGGGGGTGGGGTGGGTGTGGGGGGGGTGGGTGTTGTTGTGGTGGGGGGGGGGTGTGGTGGGGGGGGGTGGGGGGGTTGGGTGTTTTGGGGTGTGTGTGGTGGTGTTGTGGGGGGGGGGGGGGGGGTGGGTGGGTGGGGTGGTGGGTTTGGTTGGGGTGGTTGTGGGGGTGTGGGGGGGGTTGGGGGGGGGGGTGGGGGTTGTTGGTGGGGGGGTGGGTGTTGGGGGTTGGTGTGGTTGTTTGTGGGGGGTGGGTGTTAGTTGGTTGTGTGGGGTGGGGGGGGGGTGGGTGGGTGGGGGGTTGGTGGGGGTTTGTGTGGTGGGGGGGTGGGTGGTGTTGGGGGGTGTGGGGGGGGGGTTTGGGGGGGTGGGGTGTGGGGGGTGGGGGGGTTGGGGGGGGGGGGTTGGGTTGGGGGGTGGGGTGGTTGGGGGTTGGGGGGGGGTGGTGTTGGGTGGTGGGGGTGGTGTGGGGGGGGGGGTGTTTGGTGGGGTGTTGTGGGGGTGTTGGGTGGGTGGTTAGTTGTGGTGTGAGTGGTTGTGGGGGGGTGATGGGTTGGGTGTTGGTGGTTGGATGGGGGGGGGGGTGGGGTAGGTGGGGGGGGGGGTTGGTTGGGGGGGGGGTGGGTGGGGGGGGGGTGGGGTGGAGTTGATGTGGGTGGGGGTGTTGGTGTGTGTTTTGGTGGGGGGGGTTGTGGGGGGGGTGTGTGGGGGTTGGGGGTTGTGGTGGTGGGGTTGGGGGGGGGGGGGGTTGGTGGGTGGTGTTTGGGTGTTGGGTGGGGGGTGTGGGGGGGTGTTTTGGTGTGGGGTTGGGGGGGGTTGTGGGGTTGTGTGGGGGGGTTTGTGGGTTGTGTTGGGGGTTGTGTGTGTGGTGTTTGGTTTGTTTGGTTGGGGGTGGTGTGTGTTGTGGAGGGTTGGGGTTGGGTTGGGTGGTTTTTGGGGGTGTGGGGGGGGTGTTGGGGGGGTGGGTGTGGTGGTGTGTGTTGGTTTGGTGGGGGTGTTGGGGGGGGGTTTGGTGTTGTTTGTGGTGGTGGGGGGTGGGTGTTTGTTGGTGGGTTTGGGGTGGGGGGGGGGGGGTTGTGGGGTGGGGGGGGGGGATGGTGGGTTGGGGGTGGGGTTGGGGGTGGTTTGGGTGTGGGGGGGGGGGGTGTTTGGTGGGGTGTTGGGGTTGGTGGTTGTGGTTTTGGGGGTGTGTGTTGGGGGGGGGTGGTGTGTGATGGGGTGTGTGTTGGTGGTGGGGTAGTGTTGGGTTGGTGGTTTTTTTGGTGTTGTGGGGGGGTGTGTTTGGGTTGTTGGGTGTGGTAGGGGGTGTGGGGGTTGGTTGGGGGGGGGGTGGGGGGGGGGGGTGGTTGGGTGTTGTGGGGGGGTTGTTGGTTGTGTGTGGGGGGGTGGGTGTGGGGGGGTGAGAGGTGGGTGTTTGTTTTGGGGTTTGATTTGTGGGTGGTGGGTGGTTTTTGTGGGTTGTGGAGGGGGGGGTGGGGGGGGTGTGGGGGTGGGGGGGGGTGGTGGTGGGGGGGTTGTGGTTGGATTATGTTTTGGGGTTGTTGGTTGTAGTGTGGGGGTGTTTTTTTTTTTATGTTTGTGGGTTTAGGGGTTGTGGTTTGGAAGGGTGGTGTGGGGTTGGTTAGGGGTGGTGTTTGAAGGTTTATTTATGGTTGTTGGGTAGGTATGTGGAGGGGGTTAGGTGGTGGTGGTTGGGGTGTGTGTTTTGGTTTGGATTTGGGGTGTGTGGGTGGGGTGGAGTTTGGGAAGGGGTGGTGTGGGTTTTGGTGTGTTGGGTGGGGGTTTTGGTTGGGGGGGTGGGGGGTTGGGGGGGGGTTGGGGGGGGGGGTGGGGGGGTGTGGTTGGGGTGAGGGGGGGGGTTGGGGGGTGGGGGTGGGTGTGGTGTGTTTTGTGTGGGGGGTTGGGTGGGTTGTGGGGGGTGGGTGTGTGTTGGGGGGGGTGGTGTGGGGGTGTGGGGGGGGGTTGGGGTGGTGGGATTGGGGGGTGTGTGGGTGTGTGGGGGGTGTGTTGGGGGTGGTGTGTTGGGAGGTGGGGGGGGGGGGTTGGGGTTTGGGGGTTGGTGGGTGGAGTGTTTGTTTGTGTGATTGTTTGTGTGGTGGGGTGGGGTGGGGGGGTTGGTGGTGGGGGTTGGGGGGGGGTGGGGGTTGTGGGGGTTGGTGTTGTGGGGGGGGGGGGGGGGGGGGGGGGTGGGGTGGGGGTGGTTGGTGTGGGGGGGGTGGGTGGGGGGGTGGGGGGGGTGGGGGTGGGGGTGGGTTGGTGGTGGGGGGGGGGTGTGGGGGGGTGGGGGTGGGGGGTGTGGGGGGGGGGGGGGGGGGGGGGGGTGGTTGTGTGTGGTGGTGGGGGGGGTTGGTGTGGTGGGTGTGTGGGGGGGGTGGGGGTGTGGTTTTGTGGTTCGTGTGTTGGGGGGGTGTGGTGGTGTGGGGAGTGGTGTGGGGGGTGATGGGGGTGGGGGGGGGGTGGTGGGGGTGTGGGTGGGGGGAGGGGGTGGGTTGGGTGGGTGGGGGTTGGGGGGAAGTTTTGGTTGGTGAGTGTTGGGGTATTGGGGTTGGGTGTGGGGGATGGGGTGTTGGGGTAGGGTGGGGGGGGGGGTGGGGGGGGTGGGGGGGGGGGGGGTTGGGGGGGGTGGGTGGGGTGTTGGGGGTGGGGTTTGGGGGTGTGGTGTGTGTGGGGTGTGGGGGGGGGGTGTTGTGGGTGGTGGGGGGGGGTTTGTGTTGGGGTGGGGTTGGTGGTTGGTGGGGGTGGTAGTGTGGGGGGGGTGGGGTGTGTGGGGGGGTGGTGGGTGGGGGGGGTGGGGGGTTGGGTTGGGGGTTGGTTGTGGGTGGGTTTGGGTGGGTGGGTGGGGTGTGGGGGGGGGATTGGGGGTGGGGTTTGGGTGGTGGTTGGGTTGGGGGGTGGTGTTGGTGTTTTGGTTTGGTGTGTGGTTGTGTGGGGTTTTTTTGATGGTGTTTTTTGGGGTTGTGTGTTTTAGTTTTGTGTTGGTGGTGTTTGTTGGGTGTTGTTGTGTTGGGGGGGGGGAGGGTTTGGTGTGGTTGTGTGGGGTTGGGGTGGGTTTGTGTGGGTTTGTTGGTTGTGTTATTTTTTGTGTGGTGTTTTGTGGGTGGGTGGGGGTTGTTGTTGTGTGTTTTGTGTTAGGTGTTTTTGGTTTGTGTTTTTGTTTGTGGTTGTGGTTTGGGTGGGGTTTGGTTTTGGGGGGGGGTGGGGGGTTGTGTGGTGGGGGGGGGTTGGGGGGGGTGTGGGGGGGTGGGGTTGTTGGGTTTGTGTGTGGGTTGTTGGGGTGGGTGGGGGGTTGTGTGTTTGGGGGGTGGGTGGGGGTTGGTTGTTGTGGGTGTGGGTGGTGGTTGGGGGGTGTGGGGGTGTGTGGGGTGGGGTGTGTTGTGTGTGTGTGTTTGTGTGTTGGTTTGGGGGGGGGTTGTGTTTGGTGTGGGTTGGGGGGGGGGTGTTTGGTGGGTTGTTGTGTGTGTTGTTTGTTGTTTGGGGTTGTGTGGGTGGGGGGGGGGGTGTGGGGGGGGGGTGTGGGGTGGTGGTGGTGTGGGGGGGGGGTTGTGGGTGGGTGTTTTGGTGTGTGTGTTGGGGGTGTGGGGGGGGTTGTGGGTGGGGGGGGTTGGTGGGGGGTTGGGGGGGGGGGGGGTTGGGTGGGGGTGGTGGTGTGTGGGGGGGGGGTGGGGGGGGGGTGGGGGGGTGTGGGGTTAGGGGTTGTGTGGTGTTTGTGGGGGTGGGGTGGGGGGGGGGTTGGGTGTGTGGTGTTGTGGGTGTTGGTGGTGGTTGGGGGGGGTGGGTGTTGGTGGTTGTGGGGTGTTTGTGGTGGGGTGGGGTGGTGGGGGGGTGGGGGTGGGGTGTTGTGGGGGTGGTTTGGGTGGTGTGGGGTGTGGGTTGGGGTGTTGGGGGGGGAGTGGGGGGGGGGGGGGGGGGTGTGGTGGGGGGGGGGGGGGGGGGTGGGGGGGGGGGGGGGGTGGTGTGTTGGGGGGGGGTGGGAGGGGGGGTGGGGGGGGGGGGGTGGTTTTGGGGTGGTGGGGGGGGGTTTGGGTTGGTGGTGGTGTGGGGGGGGGGTGGTGGGGGTTGTTTGGGGGGTGGGGGGGGGTGGTGGTGGGGGGGGGTGGTGGGTGGGGGGGGTTTTTTGGGGGGTGTGTGTGTGGTGGGGGGTGGGGGGGGGGGGGGGGTGGGTTGGGGGTGGTGTGGTGGTGTGGGGTGTTTTGTTGGGGTTGTGTGTTGGTGGGGTTGGTGTGTGGGTGTGGGGGGTTGGGGGGGGGGGGGGTTTGTGGGGGGTGTGGGGTGGGTGTGGGGGGGGGTGGGTTGGGGGTGGTGTGGTGGGGGGGTGGGGGTGGGTGGTGGGGGTGGGTGGGGGTGGTGGGGGGTGGGTTGGTGGTGGTGTGGGGTGGGTGGTGGGTGGGGTGGGGGGGGGGGGTGTGTGTGTGTGGGGTGTTGTGGGGTTGGTGGGGTGGTTGGGTGGTTGGTTTTTGTTGGGTTTGGGGGTGTGTGGGGGGGGGGGGTGTGGGGGGGGGGGGGGTTTGGGGGGGGTGGGGGTGGGGGGGTTGTGGGTATGGGGGTGGGTTGGGGTGGTGTTTTGTTTTTGGTGGTGTTGGTGTGTGGGTGTGGGGTTGTGGGGTGTGTTTGGTGGGTGTGGGGTGGGGTGGTTGGGTGGGGGGGGGGGGGTGGGGGGGGGTGGGTGTGGGGTGGGGTGGGGGGTGGGGGTGGGGTTGGTTTGGGGGGGTGGTGTGTGGTTTGTGTGTGTGGGGGTGTGGGTGGGGTGTGGTGTGGGTGGGGTGGGGTGTGTGTGGGGGGGGGTGGTGGTGGGGGGTGGGTGGGGGGGGGGTGGTGGGGGTGTGGGGGTGGGGGTGTGTGGTGGGGTTGGTGTGGGGTTGGGGGGGGGGGGGGGGGTGGTGGGGTGGGGGGGGGGGGGGGGGGGGGGGGTTGTTGTGGGGTGGGGGGTGTGTGTGGGTGGTGGGTGGTGTGTGGGGGGGGTGGGGGGGGGGGGGGGTGGTGGGGGGGGGGGTGTGTGGGGGTGGGTGTTGTTTGTGGTGGGGGGGGGTGTGGTGGTGTGTTGGTTGGGTGGGGTTGGGTGGGTGTTGGGGGTGGGGGGGGTTTTGTTGGGGTTGTGGGGGGTGTGGGGGGGGTGGGGGTGGTGGGGGGGGTTGGGGGGGGGGGGGGGGTTGGTGTTGGGGTGTGTTTTTGGTGTGTGGGGTTGGTGGTGTGGGGTGTTGTGTGGTGGGGGGGGTTTGGTTGGTGGTTGTGGGTTTGTGGGTTTTTGGTTTTGGTTGTTTGTTGTTTTTTGGTTTTTGGGTGGTGTGTGTGTTGGGGTTTGTGTTTTGTGGGGGGGGTTAGTGGGGTGGGGGTTTGGGGGGGTGGGGGTGGGGTTTGTTGTGGGGGGGGTGTTGTGTTGGTTGGTTGGGGTGGTTTGATGGTGGGGGGTGGGGTGGGGGGGGGGTGGTGTGGGGGGTGGGTTGTGGGGTGTGTGTGGTGGTGGTGGTGGGTGGGGGGGGGTGTTTATGTAGGGGGTGGGGTGGTTGGGTGTTTGGGGGGGGGGGGGTGGTGGGGTGGGTGGGTGTGGTATGTGGTGTGTTTGTGTGTTGGGGGGGTGGGGGGTGGGGTTGGGGGGTGGTGTGGGTGTGTGGGTGGGTTGTTGGGGTGTGTTGTGGGTTGTGGGGGGGGTGTGTGGTGGGGGGGGGTGGTTGTGGGGGGGGGGGGTGGGGGTGGGTTGGGGTGGTGTTGGTGTGGGTTGGGTGGGGGGTGTGGGTGTGGGGGGTTTAGGTTGTTGTGTGGGGGTTGTGGGGGGGGGTGGGGGGGTGGGGGGGGTGGTGTGTGGGTGGGTGTGGGGGGGTGTGGTGTGGGGGGTGGGGGTGGGGTGGTGGGTGGGGGTGGGTTTGTGTTTGGGGGGGGGGGGTGGGTGGGGGTGGGGGGGTTTGGGTGTTGTTGTTGGTGGGGTGGTGGGTGGGGGGGGGGTGGGGTTGTTTGGGGGGGGGGGGGGGTGGGGGGGGGGTGGTACTGTATAAGGGTGTTTATGGGTGTGGTAGGGGGATTGTGGTTACTGGTGATGGGGGTAGGTAAGTTTTGTGTGGTTTTGGGTATATTTAGTATGTAATTGTAGGGTGTTGATTTTTTGGGGGTGGTGGTGGGTTTTTTTGAGGGGGTGGTATTGTAGTGTGTGGGGGGGGGATATGGGGGGGGGGATTGGGGGGGTGGTGTGATGTAGATGGGTTTGGGGGGAGGGGGGGTAGGGGGTATGGTGGTAGGGGATTTAGATTAGGTTTGTGGGGATATATGGGTTGGGTAGTGGTGGTGGGGGGGGGGGGTGGGGGGGGTTGTTTTTGATGATGTAGTGTTGTGGGGGGGGGGTTGGTGGTGGTTGGGTGTTGGTGTGGGGGGGGGGGTTGGAGTGGGGGTGGGGTTATGGTGGTGGTTGTTGGGGGGGGGGGGGGTTGGTGGGTGGGGTGTGGTGGTGGGGGGTGGTTTGTGGTTGGTGGGGGTGGGGGGTTTGGGGGGGGGGGGGGTTGTGTGGGGGGGGGGGGGGGGGGGGGGTGTTTTTGGGGGGGGGGGGGGTGGGGGGGTGTTGTGTGGGGGGGGGTGTGGGGGGGTGGGGGGGGGGGTGGGTTGGGGGGTGGGGGGGGGGTGGGGGGGGGGTGGGGGGGGGGGGGGGGGGGGGGGGGTGTGTGTGGGGGTGTGGGGGGTTGTGGGGGGGGTGTTGGGGGGTGGGGGGGGGGGGGGGGGGGGTGGGGGGGTGGGGGGGGGTGGGGTGTGGGGGGGGGGGGGGGGGTGGTGGGGGTGGGGGTGGGGGGGGGGTGGGGGGGGGGGGGGGGGGTGGGGGGGGGTGGGTGGGGGGGGTGGGGGGGGGGTTGTGTGGGGGTGTTGTTGGTTGGGGGGGGTTTTTGTTGTGGGGGGTTTGGGTTGGTTGTGGTTTGTGGGTTGGGGGGGGTGGTGTGGGTGTGTTGGGGTGGTTGGGGGGGTGTGTGGGGGGGTGGGTGGTGGGGGGGGGGGGGGGGGTTGTGGGTGGGGGTGGGGTGTGGTGGGGGGTGTGGGGGTGGGGGGGTGTGGGTTTGGGTGTGTGTGTGGTTGGTGTTGTGGTGTGTGGGGGGGTGGGGGGGTTGGTGGGGGTGGTGGTTGTGGTGGTTTTTTTGGGGTGGGTTGTTGGGGGGTGGTGGTTTGTTGTGGGTTTGGGGGTGGGGGGGTGGGGGTTGTTGTTGTGTTGGGGGGGGGGGGGGTGGGGGTGGTGGGTTGTGGTTTGGGGTGTGTGGGGGTGGGGTGGTTTGGGGGTGTGGTGGGGGTGGGTGGGGGGGGGGGGGGGGGGGGGGGGGGTGTGGGGGTGGTGTGGGTGGGGTGTGTGGTGTGGGTTGGGTTGGTGGGGGGGGGTTGGGGGGGGGTGGGGGGTGGGTTGGTTGGGGGGGGGTGGGGTGTTGGTTGTTTGTGGGGGGGTGTGTGGGGGTGTGTGTGGTGGGTGGGTGGTGGGTGGGGGGGTGGTGGGGTTTTGGTGGTGTGGGGTGGGGGGGGGTGGTTGGGTGTGGTGGGGGTGGTGGGGGTGGGGGGGTTTGGGGGTGTTTGGGGTTTGTTGGGTGGGGGGGTTGGTTTGGGGTGGGTGGTTTGGTTGTGTGGGGTTGTGTGTGGGTGTGGGGGTGGGGTGGTGGTGGGTGGTGGTTGGTTGTGGGTGGGGGGGGTGTGGTGGGGTGGTGGTGGGGTGTTGGTGGTGGGGGGGGTGGTGTTTGGGGTTGTTGTTGTTGTTGTTGTGTTTGTTGGTGTGTTGTGTGGTTTTGGGGGTGGGGGTGGGTGTGGTGGGGTTGGTTGTGGGGTGTGTTGGGTGGGTGTGTGTGTGGTGTGTGGTGTTGTTGGGTGTGTGTGGTGGTTGTTGGGGGGTTGGTGGTGTGGTGGGGTTGTTTTGTTTTGTTTGGTTGGGGTGGGGGTTGGGGGGGGGGGTTTGGGGGTGGGGTGGTTGGGTGGGTTGTTGTGGTGGGTGGTTTGTGGTGGGGTTTGTTGGGGGTGGTGGGGGGTTTGTGGGGGGGTGGGGGGGTTGTGGGTTTGGTTTGGGTTGGGTTTGGTTGTTGGTGTTTGTTTGTGGTTGGTGTGGTTTGTGTGTGTGGTGTAGTGTTGTGTGTTTGGTGGGGGTGGGGTGGGTTTTTTTTGGGTGGGGTTTGTTGGTTGGTGTGGTGGTATGGTGGGTGGGGGGGTTGTGGGGTGGGTTTGGGGTGGGTGGGGGGTGTTGGGGTGTGGTGGTTTGGGGGGGGGGGGGTGGTGGGGCGGTGGGGGGTGGGGGGGTGGGTGTTTTTGTGGGTTGGGGGGTTGGGGGGGTTGGGTTTGGGGGGGGGGGGGGGGGGGGGGGGGGGGGGGGGGGGGGGGGGGGGGGTGGGGGGGGGGGGGGGGGGGGTGGGGGGGGTGGGGTTGGGTGGGGGGGTGGTGGGGGTGGGGTGTGGGGGTGGGTGGGGTGGGGTGGGGGGGGGGGGGGGGTGGGTGGGGGGGGGGGGGGGGGTGGGGGGGTGGTGGGGTGGGGTTGGGGGGGGGGGTGGGGGGTTGGGGGGGGGGGGGGGTTTTTGTGGTGGGGGTGGGGTTGGGGGGGTGGGGGGGGGGGTTTTTGTGTGGGTGGTGGGGGGGGGGGGTGGTGGTGGGGGGGGGGGGGGGGGGGGGGTTTGGTGGGGGGGGTGGGGGGGGGGGGTGGGGGGGGGGGTGGGGGGGTGGGTGGGGGTGGGGGGGGGGTTGGGGGGGGGTGGGGGGGTGGGGGGGGTGGGGGGGTGGTGGGGGGTGGGGTGGGGGTTGGGTGGTGGTGGGGGTGGGGTTGGGGGGGGTTGGGTGGTGGTGGTTTGTGGGGTGGTGGTGTGGGGGGTGTGGGGTTGGGGGGGGGGGGGGGGGGGTGGGTGGGTGTGTTGGTGTTGGTTGTTGTGGGGTGGGGGGGGGGTGTTGGTTGGTAAGTGTGGGGGGGGGGGGGGGGGGGTTGGTGGGGGTGGGGGGGGATGGGGGGGGGGGGGGGTGGGGTGGGTTGGGGGGGGGGGGTTGGGGGGGGGTGGGTGGTGGGGGGGGGGGGGTGTGGGTGTTGTTGTTGTGTTGTGGTTTTTGGTTGTTTTTTGGGGTTGTTTGGTTTTGGTGGGGTGTGGGTTGGGGTGGGGGGGGGGGTGGGGGGGGGGTGGGGGTGGGGGGGGGGGGTTGGGGGGGGGGGGGGGGGGGGTTGGGGGGGTTGGGGGGGGGGTGGGGGGGTGTGTGGTGGGGTTGGTTGGGGTGGTTGGGGGGGTGGTGGTTTTTGGGGTGTGGGTTGTTGGCGGTGGGGGGGGTGGGGTTGGGTGGGGGGGGGGGTGGGTGGGTGGGTTGGGGGGTGGTGTGGGTTGTGGGTTGGTGTGTTGTGTGGGGTGGGGGGGGTGGGTTGGTGGGGGGGGGGGGGGGGGGGTGGGGGTGGGGGTGGGGTGGGGGGGTTGGTGGGGTTGGGTGTGGGGGGGTTGTGGGGGTGTGGGGTGTTTTGGGGGGGGGGAGGGGGGGGGGGGGGTGGGGGTGGGGGGGGGGGGGGGGGGGGGGGGGGGGGGGGGGGTGTTTGGGGGGGGGGTGGGTGGGGGGGGGGGGTGGGGTGTGGGGTGGGGGGGGTGGGTGGGGGGGTTTGTGGGGGTGGGGGGGGGGGGGGGGGGTTGGGGTGGGGGGGTTGTGGGGTGGGGTGGTGGGGTGGTTTGGGGTTGGGTGGGGGGGGGGTTGGGGTGGGGGTGGTGGGTGGGGGGTGGGGGTGGGGGGGGGGGGTGTGGGGGGGGGGTTGTGGTGGGGGTTGGGGGGGGTGGGGGGGGGGGGGGGGGTGTTGTGTTGGTGGGGTTGTGGGGGGGGGGGGTGTGTGGTGGGGGTGTTGGGGTGTTGGTGGGGGGGGGGGGGTTGGTGGTGTGTTTGGGGGGGGGGGGGTGGGGGTGTGGGTTGGGGGGTTGGGGGTGGGTTGGGTGGTGGAGGGGTGGTGGGTGTGGGGTGGTTGTTGGGGGTGGTTGGGGGTTGTGGGTGGGGTGTGGGGTTTGGGGTGGGGGGGGTTGGGTTGTGGTGTGGTGTGGGGGTGGGTGGGGGGGGGGTTGGTTGGGGGTGGGGGTGGTGGGGGTTGGGTTGGGGTGGGGTGGGGTGTGGTTGGTGTGGTTGGGTTGGTGGGTGTTGTGGGTGGGGTTGGGTGGTTGGGGTGGGTGTTGGTGTGTGTGTGTGGTTGTGTTTGTGGTGTGTGGGGGTTGGGTGGGTTGGTGGGGGGGGTGTGGGGGATTGTGGGTGGGGGGGGGTGGGGGTGGGGGGTAGGGTGGGGGTGGGTGGTGGGTGGGTTTGGTTTGGGGGGGGTGGTTGGGGGGGGTGGGGGGGTGTTGGGGGGTTGGGGGTTGTGGGGGGGTGTTTTGTGGGTTGGTGGGTGGGGGGTGTGGGTGGGTGGGGGTGTTTGGGGGGGGGGGGGTGGTTGTGTGTGTGGGGGGGGGGTGGGTGGGGGGTGGTGGGGTGGGGGTTGGGGGTGGGGTGGTGGTTGGGTGTGGGGGGGGTGGGGGGGGGGGTGGTGGGGGGGGGGGTGGTTGGTGGGGGGGGGGGGGGTTGGGGGTTTTGTGGGTTGTGTGGTTGGTGTGTTTGTGGGTGGTTGGGTTTGGGGGGTTGGTGGGGTGGGTGGGTTGGGGTTGGGGGGTGTGGGGGGGGTGTGGGGGGGGGGGGGGGTGGGATGGTTGGTGGTTGGTGGTGGGTGTGGGTGGGGTGGGTGGGGGGTGTGGGTGGTTTGGGGGTGGTGGGGGTGTGGGGGGGGGGGGTGTGGGTGGGTGGGTTGGGTTGGTGGGGGGGGGTGGGGTGGTTAGTGTGGGGGGTTGGGTGTTGGTTGGGGGGGGGGTGGGTGTGGGGGGGGGGGGGTGGTGGGGTGGGGTGTGGGGGGGGGGGGGGGGTGGGTGTGGGGGGGGGGGGGGGTTGGGGTTGGGGTGTGGGTGGGTGGGGTGGGGGGGGGGGTGGTGGGGGTGGGGGTGGGGGGGGGTTGGGTGTTTTTTGGGGGGGGGGGGGGGGTGGGTTTGGGGAGGGGGGTGGGTGGGGTGGGAGTTTTGGGGGGTGTGTGTGGTGTGGTGGTGGGGGGGGGGGTGGGGGGTGGAGGTGGGGGGGGGGGGGTTGTTGGTTGTTGGTTGGGGGTGTGGGGGGTTGGGGGGGGGGGGTGTGTGGGGGGGTGGTGGTGTTTTGGGGTGGTTTGGTTGTTTGGGGGGTGGGGTGGGGGGTGTGTGTGTGGTTGTGTGGGTGGGGGGGGGTGGGTGGGTGGGGGGTTGGTGGGTGTGTGGGTGGTGGGTTTGGGTGGTGGTTGTGGGTGTGGGGGGGGGGTTTGGGGGGGGTGGGGGTGTGGGTTGGGGGGGTGTGGGGGGTGTGGGGTGGGTGTGGGGTGGTTGGGGGTGGGGGGGGTGTTGGTGGTGGGGGGGTGGGTTGTGGGGGGGGGGTGGGGGTTTGGTGGGGTGTTGGGTGGGGGTTGGGTGGTGGGTGTGGTGGGGGTGTGTGGGGGGTTGGTTGGTGGGGGGGTGTGGGGGGGTTGGGTGGGTGGTGTGTGGGGGGGTTTGGGTGGGTTGGGGGGGGTGTGGGTGGTGGGGGGGTGGGGTGGTGGTGTTTTTGGGGTGGGGGGTTGTGGTGGTGGTTTTGGTGGGGGGGGTTTGGGGGGGGGTTGTGTGGGGGGGGGGGGGGGTGGGGGTGTGGGTGGTGGGGTTGGGGGGGGGGGGGTGGTGGTGGTGTTGGGTGTTGGGGGTGGGGGGTTGGGGGGGGGTGTTTTGTGGTTGGGGGGTGTGGGGGGTTGTGGGTGTTTGTGGGGGGTTTGTGGTTGTGGTGTGGGGGGTTGTGTGTGTGGGTTTGGGTGTTGTTGGTGGTGGTGTGGGTGGGGTGTTTTGTGGGTGGGTGGGTGTTGGGTGGGGTGTAGTGTGGGGTTGGGGGTGTTGGGGTGGGGTGGGTGTGGTGGGTGGGGGGTTGGGGGTTTGGTTGGGTGTGGGGGGGGGGGTGTTGGTTTGTTTTGGGGGGTGGTTGGGGGGTGGGTGTGTGGTGTGGGTGGGTTGGGGGGGTGGGGGGGGGGGGGGGTTTGGGGGGTGGGGGGGGGGGGTGGGGGTGGTTGTGTGTATGGGTGGATTGGGTTGGGTGGGGGGGGGGGTGGGTTTTGGGGTGGGGGGGTGTTGTTTTGTGGGTGGGGGGTTTGGGGGGGGGTGTGTTGGTTGGGAGGGGGGTGGGGGTGGTGGTGGTGGGTGTGTGGTGTGGGGTGTGTTGGGTGGTGTTTTTGTGGGGTGGGGGGGGTGTGTTGTGGGGTGGTTGGGGTGTGGTTGGGGTGGTGTGGGTGTTGGGGGGGGGTGTGGGGGGGGGGTGGGGGGGTGGTTGGGGTGGGAGTGGGTGGTTTTGTGGTGGGGGGGTGGGTTGGGGGGGTGTGTGGGGTTGGGTGTGGTGTTGGGGGTTGTGTGGGTGGTGGGGGTGGTGTGTTGGGGTGTTGGGGGTTGGGGGGGTTGGGTGGGGGGGGTGGTGGGTGGGGGAGGTTGTGGGGTGGGTTTTGGGTGTGGGGGGGGGTGGTTGTGTGGGGTGATGTTGTGTGTTGTGTGTGGGGTTGGGGGGTGGGGGGTGTTGGGGGTGTGGGGGGGGTGGGTTTGGGTGTGGGGTGGTTGTGGGGTGGTGGGTTGGGGTGGGTGGTGGGGGTGGGGTGGGGGGGTGGTTTTGGGTGGGGTGTGGGGGGTGGGGGGGGGGTGGGGTGGGTGGGGGGGTGGGGGGGTGGGGGGTGGGGTGGGGGGTTGGGGGGGGTGGTGGGGGTGGTGGGGGGGGGTTGGGGGGGGGGGGGGGAGGGGGGGGTGTGGTTGGGGGGGTGGGTGGTTGGGGGTGGGGTGGTGTGGTGTGTGTTGTGTTTGGGTGTGGTGGTTTTGTGGGGTGTTGTGGGGGGGGGGTGTGTGGGGGGGGGGGTGGGGTGGGGGTTGGGGGGTGGTGGTTGTGTGGGGGTGTTGTTGGGGTGGGGTGTGGGTTTGGGGGGGTGGGTTTGGGGGGTGGTGGTGGGTTTTGTGTTGGTGTGTGTGTGTGTTGTGGTGGTGGGTTGGGTTGTGGGTGGGGGTGGGGTGGGGGTTGTGGTGGGGTTGTGGGGGGGGGGGGGGGGGGGGGTGTGGGGTTGGGGTGGTTGGTGTGGGGGGGGGGGGTGGGGGGGGGGGGGGGGGGGGGGGGGGTGGGGTGGTGGTGGGGGGGGGGGGGGGTGGGGTTGGGGGGGGGTGGGGGGTGGGGGGGGGTGTGGGTTTGGGTGGTGGGGGGTGGGGGGGGGGGGAGGGGTGGGGTGGGGGTTTGTGGGGGGGTGGGGGGGATTGGGGGGTGTGGGGGGGGGTGGGGGGTGGGTGTGGGGGTGGTTGTGGGGGTGGGGGGGGGGGGGTGGGGTTGTGGGGTGGGGGGGGGGTGGGGGGTGGGGGGGGTGGGGGGTGGGGGGGGTTTTTTGGGTTGTGTGTGGGGGGGTGGGGGTGGGGGGTTGGGGGTGGGGTGTTGGGGGGTGGGTTGGGGGGGGTGGTGGGGGGGGGTGGGGGGGGGGGGGTTGGGGTGGTGGGGTGTGGTGGTTGGGGTGGGGTATGGGGGTGTGGTGTGTGGTTGGGTTGTGGGGGGGGGTGTTGGGGGTGGTGGGGGGGGGATGTTATGGGGGGTGTGGGTTGGTGGTTGTGGGGGTGGGTTGTGTGGGGGGTGGGTGGGGTGTGGTGGGGGGGTTGGTGGTGGGGGGGTGGGGGGGGTTGGGTTGGGGTTGGTTGTGGTGGTTTGTGGGGGGGGGTGGGTGGGGTGTGGGGGGGGTGTTGGGGGTGGGTTGGGGTGTGGTTGGGTGGGGGGGGTGGTGTTGGTGTTTGTGTGTGTGGGTGTGGTGTAGGGTTTGGTGTTGGTTTTGGGGTTGTGTGTTTGTGTTGGTGTGGGGTGTTTGTTGGGTTTTGTGTTGGGTGGGGTTGGGGTGGGGGTGGTGTTGTGTGGGGGGTAGGTGGTGTTGTGGGGTGGGTTGTTGTGTTTTTGTTTTTTTGTGGTGTGTTGTGGTGGGGGTGGATGTTGTTGTGGTGGGTTTTGTGGTTTGTTTTTTTTGGTTTTGTGTTTGGGTGTGGGTTGGTGTTGTGTGGTTTGGGTGGGGTTTGGTTTTGGGGGGGGTGGGGGGGTTTGTGGGTGGGGGGGGGGGTTGGGGGTTGGGGGGGGGTGGGGGTTGTTGGGTTTGTTGTGGGGGGGTTGGTTGGGTGGTGGGGGGTGGGGGGTGTGTTTGGGTGGGGTGGTGGGGTTGGTTTTGGGGGTGTGGGGGGTGGTTTGGGGTGTGGGTTGTGTGGGGGTGTGTTTGTGTGTGTGGGTGTGTGGTGTGTTTGGGGGGGTTGTGTTTTGGTGGGGGTGGTTTTTTGGGTGTGGGTTGTTGTGTGTGTTGTTTTGTTTTTTGGGTGGGGTGTGTGGGGGGGGGGGGGGGGGTTGGGGGGGGGGGGGAGTGGGGGTGTGGTGGTGTGGGTGGGGGTTGTGTGGGGTTGTGGGTTTGTTGTGGGGGGGTGTTGGTGGGGGGTGGGGGGTTTGGTGGGGGGGTTGGGGGGGGGGGGGTTGGGGTGGGGTGGTGTTGTTGGGGGGGGGGGGTGGGGGGGGGGGGTGGGGGGTTGGGGGGGGGTGGTGGGGGTGTGGTGTTGTGTGGTGTTTGTGGGGGGGTGGGGGTGGGGGGGGGGTTTGGTGTTTGTGGTGTGTTGGTGGTGTTGGGGGGGTGGGTGGTTGGGGTGGTTGTGGTGGTGGTTTGTGGTGGGGTGGGGTGGGGGGGGTGGGGGGGGGGGTTGGGGGGTGGGTGTGGGGGGGTGGTGTGGGGTGTGGGGGGTTTGGGGGTGTTGGGGGGGGGGGTGGGGGGGGGGGGGGGGGTGGGGTGGGGGGGGTGGGTGGGGTGGGGGGGGGGGGGGTGGGTGGTGTTGGGGGGGTGGGTGGGGGGGTGGGGGGGGGGGGGTGGTTTTGGGGGGGTGGTGGGGGGGGTTGGGGTGGGTTTGTTGGGGGTGGGGGGGGGGTGTGGGTTGTTTGGGGGGGTGGGGGGGGGGTGGTGGTGGGGGGGGGGTGGTGGGTGGGGGGGGTGTGTTGTGTGGGGGTGTGTGGTTGTGGGGGGGTGGGGGGGGGGGGGGGGTGGGTTTGGGGTGGGTGGTGGTGGTGTGGGGTGTGTTGGTGTGTGGGGTTGTGTTTGGTGGGTTGGTGGGTGTGTTGGGGGGTGGGGGGGGGGGGGGGGGGGGTTTGTGGGTGGTGGTGTTGGTGGGGGGGGTGGTGGGGGGGGGGGGGGTGGGGTGTTTGGGGTGGTGGTGGGGGGGGGGTGGGGGTGGGTTGGTGGGGGGTGGGTGGGGTGGTGGGGGGGGGGGGTGGGTTGGGTGGTGGGTTGGGGGTGGTGGTGGGGGGGGGGTGGGGGGGGTTGTTGTGTGGGGGTGTTTTGGGGGGTTGGGTGGGTGGTGGGTTGGGTGGTTGGTTTTGTTGGGGGGGTTTTGGGGGTGTGTGGGGGGGGGGGGGGGTTGGGGGGGGGGGGGTGGTGGTGGGGGGGTGGGGGGTGGGGGGTTGTTGGGGGGGTGGGTTGTGGGGTGTGGGTTGTTGTTTTTGTGGGTGGTTTGGTGTGTGGGTGTGGGTTGTGGGGGGTGTGTTGGTGGGGTGTGGGGGGTGGGTGTTGGGTGTGGGGGGGGGGGGTGGGGGGGGGGGTGGGTGTGGGGGTGGGGTGGGGGGTTGGGGGGGGGTGGGGTGGTGTGGGGGGGTGTGTGTGGGTTGTTGTTGTGGGGGTGGTGGGTGGGGGTGTGGTGGGTGGTGGGGTGGGTTGTGTGGGGGGGGTGGTGGTGGGGGGTGGGTGGGGGGGGGGGGTGGGTGGGTGTGGGGGTGGGGTGTGTGGTGGGTTGTGTGGGTTGGGGGGGGGGTGGTGGTGTGGGGGGGGGGGGGTGGGGGGGGGGTGTTGTGGGGGTGGGGGGGTGTGGTGGTGGGGGTGTGGTGTGTGTGGGGGGGTGGGGGGGGGGGGGGTGTGGGGGGGGGGGTGTTGGGGTGGGGGTGTTTGTGTTGGTGGTGGGGGGGGGGGTGTGGTGGTGTGTGGGTTGGGTGGGTTGGGGGGGGGGGGGTGGGGGTTGGGGTGGGGGGGGTTTTGGTGTGGTTGGTGGGGGGGTGGTGGGGGGGTGGGGGGTGGTGGGGGGTTGGGGGGGGGGGGGGGGGTTGTGTTTGGGGGGTGTGTTGTTGGTGGTTGTGGGGGTGTGGGGGTTTTTGTGGGGTTTGTGTGGTGGGTTTTGGGTTGTGGTTTGTGGTTTTTGTTGTTGTTTTTTTTTTTTTTTTGGTGTGTGGGTGTTGGTTTGGGTTTTGGGGGGGGTGGGTGGGGTGGGGTTTGGGGGGGGTGGGTGGGGTTTTTGTGTGGGGTTTGTTGGTTGGGTTGGTGGGGGTGGTTTTTTGGTGGGGGTGGTGGGTTGGTGGGGGGGGGGTTGTGGTTGGTGTGGTGGTGGTGGTGGGGGGGGGGGGGTGTTTTTTTTGGGGGGGGGGTGTTGGGTGTAGGGGGGGGGGGGGTTTGGGTGGGTGGGGTGTGGGTTGGTGTGTGTTTGTGGTGTTTGGGGGTGTGGGGTGGTTGTGGGGGGGGGGTTGTGGGTGGTGGGTGGGGTGTTGTGTGGGTTTGTGTGTGGTTGTGGGGTTTTGGTGGGGGGGGGTGGGTTGGGGGGGGGGTGGGGTGGGTGGTGGGTGTTTGTTGGTTTGGGTGTGGGGTGTGGTTTTTGGGGTTTGGTGGTGGGGTGTGGGGGGGGTGGGGGGTGGGGGGTGGGTGTGTGGTGGTGTGGGGGTGTGGGGTGGGGGTGGGGTGGGGGTGGTGGGTGGGTTGTGGTTTGGGGGGGGGGGGGTGGGGTTGGGGGTTTGGGTTGGTTGTGGTGGGGTGGGGTGGGGGGGTGGGGGGGTTTTGGGGTGGGGGGGTGGGTTTGGGTGTGTGGTGGGGGGGGGGGTTGGGGGTTTTTGGTGGGGTGGGTGTGGTTGTGTGGGGGGGTGTGGGTTGGGGGGGGGGGGGTGGGGTGGGGTTGTGGTGTGGGGGGGTGTGGGGTGGGGGGGGGGGGGGTGGTTTTGGGGTGGGTGGGGGGTGGGTGGTGGTGGGTGGGGTGTGTGGGGGGGGTGGTGTGGGGGGGGGTGGGGGGGGGGGGGGTGGGGGGGTGTTTGTTGTTGTGGTTGTGGGGTTGGGTGTGTTGGGGGGTGGGGTGGGGTGTGGGGGGGGGGGTGTGGGTTGGGGTGTTGGGGGGGGGGGGGTTGGTGGGTGGGGTTGTGGTGGGGGGGGTGTTGTGGGTTGTGTGGGTGGGGTGTGGGGGGGGTGTGTTGGGGGGGGGGGGGGGGGGGGGGGTGTTGGGGGGTGGGGGTTGTGTGTGTGGGGGGGGTGTGGGGGGGGTGGGGGGGGTGGGTTGGGGTGGGGGGGTGGGGGGGTGGGGGGGGGGGGGGGGGGTGGGTGTGGGGGTGGTGGGGGGTGGTGGTTGTTGGGGGGTGGGGGGGGGGGGGGTGGGTGGGGGGGGGGTGGGTGTGGGGGGGGGGGGGTGGTGGGTGGGTGGGGGGGGGGTGGGGGGGGGGGGGGGGGGGGGGTGGTGGGGGGGGGTGGGGGGGGTTGTGTGGGTTTGGTTTGTTGGGGGGGGGTTTTTTGTTTTGTTGTGGGGGGGGGGTTGGGGTTGGTTTGGTTGTGTGGGTTGGGGGGGTGGGTGTGGTGTGTTGGGTGGTGTGGGGGGGTTGGTGGGGGGTGGGGGGGTGGGGGGGGGGGGGGGGGGGGGTGTGTGTGGGGGGGGTGGGGTGTGGTGGGGGTGGTGGGGGTGGTGGGTGGTGGGTTTGTGGTTGTGTTGGTGTGTGGGGTGTGTGGTGGTGTGGGGTGGGTGGGTGTTGGGTGGGGGGGGTGGGTGGTGGTTGTGGGGTTTTGGGGTGGTTTGTAGGGGGGGTGGGTGGTGTGTGGTTGTGGGGGTGGGGGGTGGGTTTTTTGTGTTGGGGGGGTGGGGTGGGGGGTTGTGGGTTGTGGTTTGGGGTGTGTGGGGGGGGTGGGGTGGGTTGGGGTGGTGTTGGTGGGTGGTGGGGGGGGGGGGGGGGGGGGGGGGGTGGTGGTGTGGGTGGGGGGGTTTGGTGAGGGTTGGGTTTGGGGGGGGGGGGAGTTGGGGGGGGGGGGTGGGGGGTGGGGTTGGGGGGTTGGGGGGGGGGTGTGGTGTTGGGGGGTTTGGTTTTGTGGGGGGGGGGTTGTGGTGTGGTGTGGTGGTGGGGTGGTGGGTGGGGGGGTGTTGGGGTTTGGTGGGGTGTGGGGTGGGGGGGGGGTTGGGGTTGGGGTGTGGTGGGGTTGTGGGGGGGGGGGGTGTGGGGGGGTGTGGTTTTGTGGGTGGGGTGGGGTTTGTTTGGGTGGGTGGTGGGGTGGTGTGTGTGGGTGTGTGTGGGTTGGGTGGGTGGTGGTGGGGGGGGTGGGTGGTTGGGGTTTGTGGTGGTGGGTTGTGGGTTGGGTTGTGGTTGGGTGTTTGGTGTTGGGGGTGGTTTGGGGTTGTTGTTGTTGTTGTTGTGTTGTTGTTTTGTTGGTTTGGGGGGTGGGGGTGGGGGGGTGTGGGTGTGGTTGGTTGTGGGGTGGTGTTGGGTGGGGTGTGTGTTTGGGTGTGTGTGGTGTGGGGTGTGTGTGGTTGTTGGGGGGTGGGTGGGTGGGTGTGTTGGGTGTTGTTTTTGTTGTTATGGGGGGGGGGTGGGGGTTGGGGGGGGGGGTGTTTGGGGTGGTGGTTGGGTGGGGTTTTTGTGGTGGGTGGTTTTTTGGGGGGTTTGTGGTGGTGGGGGGGTTTATGGTGGGTGGGGGGGGTTGGGGGGGGGTTTTTTTTGGTGGGTTTGGTTGGTTGGTGGGTTTTGGGTTTGGTGTTGGTGTTGTGTGTGTGGGTGTTGTGGTGGTGGGTGTGGGTTTGTTGGTGGGGGTTTTTTGGGGTGGTTTTTGGTGGTGTTGTGGGTGTTGTGGGTGGGGGTTGTGGTGTTGGGGTGTGGGGTGTGGTGGGGGTGGTTTTGGGGGGGGGGTGGGGGTGTGGGGGGGTGGGGGTGTGTTTTGTGGTGGGTGGGGGGGTTGGGGGTTGGGTTTGGGGGGGGGGGGGGGGGTGGGGGGGGGGGGGGGGGTGGGGGGGGGGGGGGTGGGGGTGGGGTTGGTGGGGGTGGGTGGGGTGGGGGGTGGGGGTGGGGGTGGGGTGGGTGGGGGGGGGGGGGGTGGGGGGGGTGGGGGGGTGGGTGTGTGTGGTTGGGGGGGGGGGTGGGGGTTGGGGGGGGGTTTGTGGGGGTGGGGGGTGTGGGTTGGGGGGTGTGGTGGGTGTTTTTTGTGGGTGGGTGGGGGGGGGTGGGGGGTGGGGTTGGGGGGGGGGGGGGGGGGGGGGGGGGTTATGGTGGGGGGGGGGGGTGGGGGGGGGGGGGTGGGGGGGGGGTGGGGGGGGGGGGTGGGGTGGGTGGGGGGGGGGGGTGGGGGGGGGGGGGGGTGGGTTGGGGGGGGTGGGGGGGTGGGTGGGGTGGGGGGTGGGGGGGGGTTGGGGGTGGATTGGGGGGGGGTGGTGGGGGGTTGGTTGTGGGTGGGTGTGGTGGGGGGGTGGTGTGGTGGGGGGTGTGGTTGGGGGGGGGGGGGGGGGGGGGTGGGTGGGGGGGTGGGTGTTGGTGTTGGTTGTGTGTGGGGTGGGGGGGGGGGGTGGTTTGTGGTGGGGTGTGGGGGGGTGGGGGGGGGGTGGGGTGGGGGGTGGGGGGGGGTGGTGGGGGGGGGGGTGGGGTGGGTGGGGGGGGTGGGGGTGGGGGTGGTGGGGGGGGGGGTGTGGGTTTTTTTGTGGTTTGTTTGGGTTGTTGTTGGGGGTGGTTTGTTTTTGTGGGTGGTGGGGGGTTGGGGGGAGGGGGGGGGGGTGGTTTGGGGGGGGGGGGGGGGAGGGGGGGGTGGGGGGGGGGGGGGGGTTGGGGGGGGGGGGGGGGGGGGGTTGGTGGGGGGGGGTTGGGGGGGGGGGGTGGGGGGGGTGTGGTGGGGTGGGTGTTGGGGTGGGGGTTGGGGGGTGGTGGGGGGGTTTTGGGGTGTGGGGTGGTTGGTGGTGGGGGTGGGGTTTGGGGTGGGGGGGGGGGGTGGGGGGGGGGGTGGGGTGGGGTTGGGGGGTGGGTGGTGGTTGTGGGGTTGGTTTGTGTTGTGGTGGGGGTTGGGTGGTTGGTGGGGGGGGGGGGGGGGGGTGGGGGGTGGGGGGTGGGTGGTGTGGGGGTGGGTGGTGGGGGTTGGGGTTGTGGGGGGTGGTTTGTATGGGGTGTGGGGTTGTTTAGGGGGGGTGGGGGGGGGGGGGGGGGGGGTGGGGTGGGGGGGGGGGGGGGGTGTGGGGGTTGGGGGGGGGGTGGTGGGGGTGGTTGGGGGGGGGGGTGGTTATGGGGGTGGGGGGGGGGGGGGGGGGTGGGGTGTGGGTGGAGGGGGGGGTGGTGGGGGGGGTGTTGGTGTGGTTTGGTGGGGGGTTGGGGGGGGTAGGGGTGGGGGTTTGTGGTGGGTGTGTGGAGGTATTTGGGTTGGGGTGGGGGGGGTTTTGGGGGTGGGGGGGGGTGGGGGTTGGGTGTGGGGGGTTTGGGGGGGGGGTGTGGGGGGGGGGGGGTTGTGGTTGGGGTGGGGGGGGGGGGGTTTGGTTGGGTTGGGTTGTGGGTTGTTTTTGGGGGTTTGTTGGTGGGGGGGGGGTGTGGGTGGGGTTGGTAGTTGGGGTGTGGGAGGGTGGGTGGTGGGTGGGGTTTGGTGTTGTGTTTGGGGTTGGGGGGTGGTGGGTGTGGGGGGGTTTGGGTTGGGGGTTGGGGGGGTTGGGGGGGGGTGGTGGTGGTGGTGGGTTGGGTGTGTGGGGGGGGTGGTTGGGGGGTGTGGTGGGGGGGTGTGGGGTGGGGGGGGGGGGGGTTGGTGTTGTGGGGTGGTGTTGGGGTGGGGTTGGGGGGGGGGTGGGTGGTGGGGGGGGGTGGGGGTGTGGGGGTTGGGTTGGTGGGGGTGGTGGTTGGTTGGGTGTGGGTTGGGGTGGTGGGGGTTTTTTGGGGGTGGGGTTGGGGGTGGTTGGGGTGGGTGTTGGTGTGTGTGGTGGTGGGTGTGGGGGTTGGGTGGTGTGGGTTTGTGGGGGTGGGGGGGGGTTGTGGGTGGGGTGGTGGTGGGGTGGGTGGGTGGTTTTTGGTTTGGGGGGGTTGGGGGGGGGTGTTTGGTGTGGGGTTTTGTGGGTTGTGGGTGTGGTGTTTGGGGGGGTGGGGTTGGTGGGAGGGGTGGGGTGGGTGGGGGGGTTTGGGGGGGGGGGGGGTTTGTGTTGGTGTTGGGGGGGGGGGTGGGGTGGGGAGGTGGGGGGTGGGGGTTGGGGGGGGGGGGGGGGGGTGGTGGGTTGGGTGTGGGGGGGTTGGGGGGTGTGGGGGGGGTGGGGGTGGGTTGTGGGGGGGGGTGGGTGGGGGGGTTGGGGGTTTGGTGGGTTGTGTGGTTGGTGGGTGTGGTGTTTTGGGGTTGGTTGGGTTTGGGGGGAGGGGGTGGGGTGGGGGGTTGGGGTGTGGGTTGTGGGGGGGGGTTTGGGGGGTGGGGGGGGGGTGGTTGGGTGTGGTGGTTTGGGTGTGGGTTGGGGTGGGTGGTGGGGTGGGGGTTGGTGGTGGGTTGGGGTGTGGGGGGGGGGGTGTGGGGGTAGTGTGGGGGGGGGGGTGGTTTGGGGGTGGGGGTTGTGTGGGGGTTTTGTGTGGGGGTTGGGGGGGTGGGTTGTGTTGGGGGGGGGTGGTTGGGTGGGGGTGGGGGGGGTGGGGGGGGGGGTTGGTGGGGGGGGGGTGGGGGGTGTTTGGGGGTGTGGGGGGGGGTTGTTGGTGGTGGGTGGGTGGGGGGGGTGGTTGGGGGTGGGGTGGGGGTGGGGGGGGGGGTGGGTGTTTGGTGGGTGGGGGGGGGTGGTGGGGGGGGTGGGGGGGGTGGTGTTGTTGGGGGTTGTGTGTTGTGGTTGTGGTGGGGGGGGGGGGTGGGGGTGGTGGGGGGTGGGGGGGGGTTGGTTGGTGGTTGGTGGGGGTTGGTGGGGGGGTTGTGGGGGGGGGGGGGGGGGTGTGGTGGGGGGGGGGGTGGTGTGTTTGGGGGTTGGTTGTGGTTTTTAGGGGGGGGTGTGTTGGGGGGGGTGTGGTGTGTGGTTTGTGGGGGGGGGGGGGGGTGGGGGTGGTGGGGGGTTGGTGGTGTGTGGTGGTGGGGGTGGGGTGGGGTGGTTGGGGGTTGGGGGGGGGGGTTTGGGGGGTGTGTGTGGGGGGGTGGGGGGGGTGTGGGGGGGGTGTGGGGTGGGGGGGGGTGGGGTGGTTGGGGGTGGGGGGGGTGGTGGTGGGTGTGGGGTGGTTGTGGGGGGGGGTGTTTGGTGGGGTGTTGGGTGGGGGTTGGGTGGGTGGGTGTGGGGGGGTGTGTGTGGTTGGTGGGGGGTGTGGGGGGGGTTGGGTGGTGTGTGGTGGGTGGGGTTGGGTGGGGTGGGTTTGGGGGGGGGTTGGTGGGGGGGTGGGGTGTGTGGTGTGGGGTGGGGGTGTGGGGGTGGGGTTTTGGTGGGGGGGGGTTTGGGGGGGGTGTGTGGGGTGGGGGTGTGGTGGTGGGGTGGGGGGGGGGGGGGGTGGTGTGGTTTGGGGGTTTGGGGTGGGGGTGTGGGGGGGGGTGTTTTGTGTTGGTGGGGTTGGGGGGTTGTGGGTTTTGTGGGGGTTGTGGTGGTTGTGGTTGGGGGTGTTGTGTGTGTGTTGTGGTTTGTGTTGGGTTGGGGTGGGTTGTGTGTGTGGGTGGGGGTTGGGGTGGGGTGGTTGTTGGGGGGTGTGGGGGGTGTTGGGGGGGGGTGGGGTGGTGGTGGGTGTGTGGGGTTTGGTGGGGGTGTGGGGGGGGGGTTTGGTGGTGTTGTTTTGGTGGTGGGGGGGGTGGGGTGTTGTGTGTGGGTGGGTTGGGGGGGTGGGGGGGGGGGGGTTTGGGGTGGGGGGGGGGTGGGGGTTGGTGTGGGTTGGGTGGTTGGGGGTGGGGGGGGGGTGTTTTGGTGGGGGTGGGTTTGGTGGTGGGGTTTGGGGGGGTGTGTTGTGTTGGGGGGGGGGGTGTGGTGGTGGGTGTGTGGTGTGGGTGTTTGGGTGGGTGTTTGTTGTGGTGTGGGGGGTGTGTTTGGGGTTGTTGGGGTGTGGTTGGGGGTGGTGGTTGGTTGGGGGGGGGGGGTGGGGGGGGTGGGGGGGGTGGTTGGGGGGTTGTTGGTTGTGTTGTGGGGGGTGGGTGTGGGGGGGGGTGTGGGTGTTGGTTGTGTTGGGGGTTTGTGGGGTGGTGGGGGTGGGTGTGGGGGGGGTGTGGGGGGTGGGGGGGTTGGGGGGGGGTTGGGTGGGGGGGGTGGTGGTGGGGGGGTTGTGGGGTGGGTTTGTGTGTGGGGGGGTTGTGTTGGTGTTGGGGGGGGGTGGTGTTGTGGTTTGGTGGGTGGGGGGTTGGGGGGTGGGGGGGTGGGGTGGGGGTGTGGGGGGTGGTTTGGGGTGTGGGGGTTGGTTTTTGGGGGGTGGGAGGGTTGGGGTGGGGTGTGGGGGGTGGGGGTGGGGGGTGGTGTGGTTGGTTGGTTGGTGTGGGGGGGGGGGTGGGGGTGGGTGGGGGGGGTGGGGGGGGTGGGGGGGTGGGTGGGGGTTGTGGTGGGGGTGGTGGGGGGGGTTGGGGGGGGGGGGTGGGGGGTGGTGTGGTGGGGGGTGGGGGGGGGTTGGGGGGGTGGGGTGGGTTGGTGTGTGTTGTGTGTGTGGGTGTGGGTTGTTGGTGGTGTGGTGGTGTGTGGGTGGGTTGTGTGGGGTGGGGGGGGGTTGGGGAGGGGGTGGGGGGTTTGGGGGTGTTGGTTGTGTGGGGGTGTTGTTTGGGGGGTTGGGTGTGGGGGGTGTGTTTGTGGGTGGGGTGGTTGGTTTTTGTGTGTGTGTGAGTGTTGTGGGGGTTGGGGTGGGGTTGGGTTGGTGTGGGGGTGGGGGGTGTGGGGGGGTTGTGGGTTGGGGGGGTATTAGGGGGGGGGTGGGGGGGGGGGGGGG